CCCACCCCCCCCCCCCCCCCCCCCCGTACATAGTACGTGCTCTCCGGCCGGTGGTTGTATCCATCGACTATCAATTTATCCATCCGTCCCACCTTTCTGTATCAAACCCCCCCGACACTCAACTCGCAATCCCTCCCTCCTTCTCCCCCCCTTGGTCAATCCCAATCACCCCTCTTTCGCTCTGCGTACCATCCGTCGCCACTACCAGGCCCTTGGCGAGTGAATATTCAATCGCAATCCCCATCAACACTCGAACAACATTTTCCAAGCGCGAGCAGGTCCGTCTGCGACTCTCAGAGACATTTCCCATCCGCCCGTGACCCTGCCTAGCGAGCCGGGTACAATCAACCCCCTTCTGCTCTCGGTACACCAACTACTACCAGCAAGTGTCTTGTCTTGTCTCTGGACAGGGCCGAGGCGTTACACTTGAACCACCGTAGCCCTGGTCGAACCGCCCTATGCTGTCCGTCAGCCTTTTCACACTTCCGAGGCGGTCGAAAGTCTAGGACACTGTCGTTAAAACCCATCAAGCCCAGCCACAACCTCGAGCGTCCCTGTTTCGTCCTTGCATGCGCCTACTCTAATCCAGCGCCCTGTCTAGCCGAAACGAGGTCTGGGGCCTGAGCGAAAAGGTTGCCTCTTGGGCACAATTGAGGTACTCCTTCCTCCGGACGACGACGAATCGAATCAGTTTCCAAATATCAGCGCCCATTCTCTAGGCGGCATATCCACCGCGCACCGGCCTGGATTGCGCCACGGCCATTCGAACCCTCCGTGTCCTCTGGAAGAACCGAGACGTTCGCAGCTCAGCGAACCAAGTCCCACGGCCGGCGCAGAGCCTCATCGCGTAGAGAGGACAGCCTCACATTCACAAGCAGCAAAGATAGCCCCAAAGGGCTTCAGACATGTCCGTCATGTTGCAAACACCATCCCGGGCCTCGACGGCCTCTTCGTCCTCCTTCCAGCCGATTTCGCGGCAGAACACCATGTCCTCCTATGATGGGACACGGTCAGCGCGGCAATCGAAGCGGTATTCGATGTCGGCGCTCTACATGTCCATGTCGGCGAACGAGACAGAGCTGGAGATAGAAGACGACCTGGCAAAAGGTATGTCGCACACCGTCCCTCGCCTGAGTGACGGCCGATGCTAACTGACAACGCTCTACAGCCCAGAAGACACTCCGCGACCTCAAGTCCAAGATCTCGTCGCAATCGAAAAAGAACTTCGTCCTGGAAAAAGACGTGCGATACCTCGATTCCCGAATTGCCCTGCTCATTCAGAACCGCATGGCTCTGGAGGAGCAGAACGAAGTAGCAAGCCATCTCGAAGATGCGACAGACCTCCAAGAAGGAGCATTCCCGAACGACGACAAGACTCAGAAATATGGCAACCTGCTGTTCCTGCTGCAGTCCGAGCCGCGGCACATTGCACATCTGTGCCGCCTGGTTTCCATGGCAGAGATCGACTCATTGCTGCAGACGGTCATGTTCACCATCTACGGAAACCAGTACGAGAGTCGTGAGGAGCACCTCTTGTTGACCATGTTTCAGTCCGTTCTGACCTACCAATTCGACACGACGCCCGAATACTCGTCTCTGCTCCGTGCCAACACGCCGGTCTCGCGCATGATGACCACGTACACCCGCCGAGGCCCTGGTCAGAGTTTCTTGCGGTCGGTACTGGCAGATAGAATCAACAGCCTGATCGAGCTCCGGGACCTCGACCTGGAGATCAACCCCCTGAAGGTGTACGAGCGCATGTGCGAGCAGATTGAGGAAGATACCGGCAGTCTTCCCGCGTCGTTGCCTCGGGGGATAACGGCAGAGCAGGCGGCTGAGAACGCCCAGGTCCAGGCCATCATCGAGCCGCGGTTGACTATGCTGACCGAGATTGCCAACGGCTTCTTGAACACCATCATTGACGGGCTAGAGGAGGCACCCTACGGTATTCGCTGGATCTGCAAGCAGATCCGAAGTCTGACCAAGAGAAAATACCCCGATGCCAACGACCAAGTCATTTGTACGCTGATCGGAGGGTTCTTCTTCCTGCGCTTCATCAACCCTGCCATTGTCACGCCCAAGTCGTACATGCTCATCGATGGCGTCCCCGCAGACCGTCCCCGCAGAACGCTCACCCTGATCGCCAAGATGTTGCAGAACCTGGCAAACAAGCCGTCGTATGCAAAGGAACCATACATGGCGAAGCTGCAACCCTTCATCCAGCAGAACAAGGACCGTGTCAACAGGTTCATGTTGGATCTGTGCGAAGTCCAGGATTTCTACGAGAGCCTGGAGATGGACAACTACGTCGCCCTGTCAAAGAAGGATTTGGAGCTCTCCATCACCCTCAACGAGATCTACGCCATGCATGGTCTCCTCGAGAAGCACAGCGGAGAGCTATGCAAAGACGAGAACTCGCACCTGGCGCTTATCATGTCGGAACTGAGCAGCGCTCCTCCTCAGGTTCCCCGAAAGGAGAACCGAGCAATCAATCTCCCTCTTTTCAGCCGCTGGGAGACCGCCATTGGCGACTTGACTGCTGCCCTTGATATCACTCAGGAAGAGGTATTCTTCATGGAGGCCAAAACGATCTTTGTCCAGATCATGCGCTCGATCCCAGCTAACAGCTCGATCGCCCGAAGACCACTACGACTCGAACGGATCGCTGATGCCTCTGCAACCTCGAAGAACGACGCTGTCATGGTACGAAAAGGTATCAGAGCCATGGAGCTCCTCAGCCAGCTTCAGGAAATGAAAGTCATTGACAAGTCCGAGGGATTCAGTCTATTGAGAGATGAAGTCGAGCAGGAACTTCAGCACCTCGGTTCGCTCAAGGATGGTGTTCTGCTTGAGACCACGAAATTGGAGGAAGTGTACAAAACTATTCGCGACCACAACTCGTACCTGGTCGGTCAGCTCGAAACATACAAGAGCTACCTGCACAACGTGAGAAGCCAGTCCGAAGGCACTCGTCGAAAACAGCAAAAGCAGCAGGTCCTGGGACCCTACAAGTTCACCCATCAGCAATTGGAAAAGGAAGGTGTCATTCAGAAGAGTAATGTTCCGGACAATAGGAGAGCCAACATCTACTTCAATTTCACCAGCCCTCTACCCGGGACTTTTGTCATCTCTCTACACTACAAGGGTAAGTTGTCGCAGCCACCCACACCGCGCCTTGCTTCTGATCTAACATCCTTGACAGGACGTAACCGAGGTCTTCTAGAACTAGACCTTAAACTAGATGATCTGCTCGAGATGCAGAAAGACGGCCAAGAGGATCTGGATCTGGAATACGTACAGTTTAACGTCCCGAAGGTCCTCGCGTTGCTGAACAAGCGGTTTGCCAGGAAGAAGGGGTGGTAGATGGTCCTCGTCGATTGGGCAGCATCATTCAGGGAGCATGCTGGATGCTATCCCGACGGCGGCCCACATCTCAATTTGCATCTCGCATGGCGTTTCGGCTGCTAATTACAACCTTGATACCACTTTTCTTTCGATATATCCGTCCCTCGATCTTTGATATCCCAAGTCAAACTTCTGGGAGCGTTGTTCAGCCTTGACAATGCATCTCTTCGCTTCGATACACCTTGTACAACTGATTATATCCTAGACGCCTTTGCGGTGCTCTTCTCTTTTTATTATCTTTCTATTACGGCGGACTCAGCGCGTCTCAACGCTTTTCTTTACGCGCTTGACAGTTGAAGCGGGCGTTGATACTTTTATGCCACATCAATAAGTGGCGTTGTACATCTATCGAATCGTTGCAAATTGCGGCCCGCTGGACAATCAGGATACCCAGAACCTCGTCGTGCGTTTGGAGGGATATGGTTGAAAGCCATCTGCTCACCGATTAAAGACGGTCGTCAGAGGATGGAGGAACTTGGGATGTTGCTTCGGCTGGTCCGGCGGCCTTTTGATTTTATTTTTGGAATTTTTTGGTTCTCGAAGTTGGTACTGGCAAGTTGTGGAGGATGTTTACTGCTCCATGGTTGCCTCTCGTGGTGGTCTTTGATCTGACTGGCGCGGCGAGTCAAGTCAACAGACTCCTGGCGCCTGTTTGGGTAAAGAAACGGAACGATTCGTGGAGTAGTGGGATATGATGAATGTGGTATCGTTTCTCGGATTTTCTTATATACGCAGATAGACGAGCTATGAATAATCACAAGTGTTTAACCGTACCATCACATTAGAAATGGTAATGCGCTACACGACAGATGAAATCTTGGTACGAGAAAAGTCAACCAAGATAATCAGCCAGTGAAAACGCAGTTCTGATACATCTCGTAGACGGCTCTGGTCGTTAGGCGATCCGCATGGGGTTTTTACCCGGTTAGTTGACTTTATCCGCTATATACATGCTACCTAACGCCGGCTTGAGGCGAGATTGTAATGCCTACATGCACAGTCTGGGACACTCAGAATGGTAGATGATCCTCCGAGCCGCCCAGCCCAGGAGCCGGGAGAGAGTTTGCGTGCTCCACATGTCATGATGCACCCAAGAACTATATGAAGAAACGTCTCCTCGCCAAACATGATCAGCATGTTGTGCCCTCCCGTAGTTTTGGCTGAGGAAGCGAAATGTTGTCCCGGGCTCTTGCGCCGCTTCTGGCTGTAATTGGCGCTGTTCAAGCCAGTTTACAGATCGTGCCCGGTGGCACGTGGACGACTGTATGTCTGCCCCTTCTGCATTTCTTCTATTCGGTACCGTCTCTACGGTTTTCTCTCACTTTTTGTTCTCCCTTCTCTGCCGCCGTGGGTCATTAACAACTCGTCTCTAGTCGAACAATGAACATCTCCAAGCCCATGGCGGAGGGCTCATCAAAGTCAATGATACGTACTTTCTCATGGGCGAGGACAAGACCTCCGGCTCTGCCTTCCAGAACGTGAACTGCTACTCGTCGCAGGACTTGGTGGTGTGGACTTATGTAGGCGCCCTGCTCTCACGGACGGGCAGCGGAGACCTGGGGCCCAACCGGGTCATCGAGCGGCCCAAGGTCATCTACAACGACAAGACGCGCAAGTACGTCCTGTGGATGCATGTGGACAGCAGCAACTACGGCGAGGCAAAGGTCGGGGTCGCCACCGGCGACACGGTGTGCGGAAAGTACGAGTACAAGGGCAGTTTCCAGCCGCTGGGGAAGCAGAGCAGAGACATGGGACTGTTCAAGGACGATGATGGGAAGGGCTACCTGCTGACTGAGGACGTAAGTGTTCCTGTTGTCTAAGTCTCCCCGTGTCTCTGAGTGTACCTGGCCAACTGACCCGTCTCAACGCCTCTCAGCGTCAGAACGGTCTCCGCATCGTTGCTCTTTCGGACGATTACCTTACGGTAACCACCAACACCTACCTGTGGAAAGACAGCATCGAGGCCCCAGCGCTCCTGAAGCTCGGCGGGCGCTACTACATGTTCGGCTCCAAGCTGACGGGCTGGGATCCGAACGACAATGTGTACTCGACCTCGACCTCGCTCTCCTCTGGCTGGTCGGCCTGGAAGACGTTTGCCGATTCCGGGAGCAAGACGTACACCAGCCAGACAAACTTCGTGCTCAAGACGGGCGAAAGCAGCGCTGTGTACCTGGGCGACCGCTGGGTGAGCAAGAACCTGATGGCCAGCACATACGTATGGTTGCCATTGTCCATCAGCGGGACCAGCGTCAGCATGAAGAACGCCGTGTCGTGGGTGCCGAACCTGGGCCCGGGCGCCGGGGGCCAGTGGGCAGCGCCGCCGGCCGAGACGTCGTACGAGGGCGAGGCGGCGACGTACGGCGGCAAGGCCCGCGACGTCGACTGCGCCAGCTGCTCGGGCAAGAAGGCGGCGGGCTACGTGGGCGGGCCGGACCGGGGCACGGTCACGTTCGCCGGGGTGCGCAGCGACGGGTCTGCCGGCGGCGCCGCCACGACGGTGCGCATCAAGTACGTCAACGGGGACAGCAAGGTGCGGTACGCCAACGTGCGCGTCAACGGCGACGCCGGGCGCAGGGTCGCGTTCCTGCCCAGCTCGGGCGACCCGGCGTCGTCCACCCTGCATGTGCAGCTGCGCACGGGGGCGACGGCCAACACGATCGTGATCGAGGGTGTGGGCGACGGCTGGGGGCCGGATATAGATCGCCTGATGGTGCCGGTGAGTTGAGATGGCGTCAGCAATGAGGACAGTCAGCATCCTTATAGTTAATTATACAACGTCAAACTTGGTGTCTTCTATGTCAGTATAGTCTGATGAGGCTTACTACTCAGATCTCTTGCCAACTTTGAATGTCTCTCATCCCCATTCCTGAATACGTGATGTTCGGAGAGGTTACAACAAAGCGCGTGCGGATGCGTGGCTTGAAGGATGCAAAAGCTGAGTAATTCCGCAATCCTCCGCGTAGACCTATGCACTAAATATGATAGGAATAGGGGTATTTTTGTCTGAGAATAGGGGGCTAAACGACGTGGTTGCCGGGGCATGACTAATCGTCAAAAGCCTGGTACGGGCTTGGCAGCACAACATTATTTCCTGCCTTCGCTGCGGCTCTGTTCATTGGTGGAGGCTCTTTCGTTTTAAATCCTTGACCATCGTCTCCGAAAGGCAAGACAGGTTCCCACATCTCGCTTATTATGTCTGAGGCTTAGGTCGAAGGATTGAGTTGGTGGCGTCCTCTGGTTCCCAATTTAGACACAGCTGAAGGTTATAGCTGTCACGATAAAGAGATATGACAAGAACCTGCACATCCGATGTTACGATGCAATTGGAAGTATCGTAATCACCGAATAACATGTTGTATGCAGGAAAAGACACAGAAGAATCGAGAGCCTCTGTAGTCTATAAAGAGAGGTCGTTCCCACGATATCAGTAGCCTTTCATTCAACACCCCTCTGCAGTTATCTCACCAGAAACGTTACCTACCTGTATCAACGCCATCAAGTAGCAAAATTACACAAGATGCTTCCGTCTATCTTTTACTACCTCTTTGCAGCTCTGGGCGTATCGACTGTCCAGGCCAAACAGTCCTTCTCCAACACCGGTACAAAATCTGGCTGGAACGACTTTACGCATGATCATCTCGGCAAGGTCGAGGAAGTGAAAGACGTTTTTTACAAAGGCCCTACAGCTCTCCGAATGACTCAGATTCACGACGATAAATGGAAGGGGCGATATCATTCCGAGGCGGTCAAGAAAGCCGCGTATAAAAAGGGAGACACCGGCTTCTATGGTTTCGCGTTTCAGCTGCCAAAGAACTGGGAGTTCACCAAGGATGTTGGCTTCAACCTGGCCCAGTTCATCACGGATTTCTCGGACCTCGGCTGCGGCGAGAAGGGTATGCCGTCCACCATGATTGCAATCGAGGAGGACCAGCTCTCGGCACGCGTCAAGTACGGGAGCGTCTGTCCGACTAGTGCGCAGAAGACGACCAAGTGGTCCAAACTCGCCACCGTCAAGCCCGGGGTCTGGCACACCGTCGTCATCCAGGCGAGCTGGAAGAGCGACGACTCGGGTTTCTTCAGGATGTGGTTTGACGGCAAGCAAGTGCGCAACGAGGAGGGCATCAAGACCACGGTGAGCGATGGGCGCGCGTTCGACTTCAGGGTCGGCTTGTACGCCAATCACTGGTTTGATCACGGGTATTCGGGGAACCAGCCAACGCGGCAGGTGTACTACGATCAGATTGCCATCGGCTCTACCATGGACGACGCCGACCCAAGCAAATGGTGAACGATGCGGGTCCGCCGGGGGCTTGGACTGAGCTGTCGTAGGGCATCACCAGGAGGAAAGTCAGCAATCTGATTACGGGAGACTGGAAGTTGGAGATATTTTCTTACTATCCACAGGACGAAATTACGCTGTCACTGTCGACTGCGCCGTGATGTCTATACAGACTTTTGCAACTTGCTGCTTGCTTTTATGGTCTAGCGCTATCTTGCAGGGGCAAGAGCCAATAGTAGTGCAGCAAGCGGAGAATATACCGTCGGTGATACTGTATAGTACACGTGCGCTTGTGCCATACTTATCTCTACGTCTTTCAACTCAAAAATGAGTGCGCAACAGGTCCATGCGAGTCGAAAGCGCAATCTTGCGACTGAAGGCATGTTGTAGACTCACAGGGTGTTGTGCCCCGTTAGGTCGAGCAGTCCACGGCCCGCTCTGGCCCACACACACAGTGCCCACACTAGGCAGCCCCTGGTACCTCAAGCAGAAATAGGTCAAGCAAATTGTTAGTTCGTGCTCGTTCTTCATTGAATACGAGACTTCCGCAACCCGACAACTTATTACCTATTGCACCAATCAGCGCGTATCGCATTGCAAGTCTATACTGATGACCCACACCAATACTGGAAATTACGTTGATTGGAGGCATCTGTACTATACGAGCTGCAGATCCTAGCCCGATCAGCTGTGCCCAGGTTGCCGTCAAACCTTAATACAGTTCGCTTAGAGTCTGGGGCGCCTGACTACGACTATGCGGGACCGTATGCGGACCGATATGGAAAACGCAAGCCGGTTGAGGCCTAGGAATACCATTACAAATGACACACCGCAACTAATCTTACCGACCCATAGTCTCTCGCGGTTCTTTTTCGTGACGGGGCGGGGGAAAAAGCAAGCGTCTGCCATCTGCGAGCAGGTGGATTGCCTAATCCAGGCGTCATTAGAAACTGTCTAACAACCTTCATAGCACACGTGGGCAGGCTCTCTTGAGCTACCTGGGTACCCGTTGAAGCTAGGGGGCGTACTAGGTTCCAAGGTTGGTACACACCAAACTTGGGCAGATCCGCAGCCGTGTGGATCGCGGCCTATCTGGGTAAAAGACTGCAATGCTTGCAAAAATACCACGAGCCTTGCTGGGAGAAAAGCCGGGGCGCCAATGGCATGGTGACTCGACTTGCCGGTTTCTGTGGCTTTATATCCATAGTCCCAGCGCGCCCAATCTCCCGTCGGCAGCCATCATCCGTCCACAGAGGCCCCGGGCGCCACGTGCCACGAGTGAGCAGGTTTTCTACCAAATTGGTCTGGCGTACGCTTCCAAGTGTGGCCAAGGTATGGCCCAGGACGTCCGCAGGCTCGCAACCCCAAACCGATATAGCTAGTAGATCCTAATCAAGCCAGGGCTGATCCAGGTAGACCCTACATACATAGCACCTGTCCTATCTCTATACAAATTTCCTCGCCAACGCACGGCGACGGTGTCGGCCACGCGCATAGCCTACCGACCGACAACCGGCCTTGTTCTTGTTCTGACCCAAGTGAGACCCAGCCAGGTGAAAAGAGCAGACTACGCCGCGCCAACCACCACAAAAGTCCGGAGGCGCTCCGGGCGGCTCCCAAGGCGCTGATTCGGTGTCATGGCCTTGCAGCTTTTGGCACGCTCCGAGCACCTGTGGGGGGGTCCTTGTCTTGCCTGTCTTTGCAACCTGGAACCCCTACAAGGTGCTGCTACGTACTTACACTACAGTACGCACGGAGACAGACCGACTGGTCTGATGACACGAGCTTATCCAATGGTCTGACACGTCCGCCATGCCCACCACGGCCCCCGAAAAGCTGAGAGACCTCGCTCCCGCCGCCCAGGACAGCGGCCCTCCGCCGGACGACGGATCTGCCTCCAAGGGCGGCTCGTCCCGCCGCAAGCTGGTCAAGAGCGCCTGTCGGAACTGTCAGACCAAGAAGACAAAGGTTTGTCCCACAACTGTTCCTGCTGCCACCGAGCGAAAACCCCGCCCACGCACGAGAGCGAGTCGACTAATAATGCCCTGCTCTCCCATCAGTGCAACGGCAAGCGCCCGAAATGTTCGCGATGCCTGCAGAAGGGGCTCGCCTGTCAGTACGACACGCTGTACGAGGGTATGAGCAAGCAGCAGAGTGCGGAATATGAGATCTTGCGCCTCAACGACATCATCACCGATTTGGAGCAGAAGCTTCGTGTTTTGGAGCACGGCTCCCAGCAAGAAGCGTTCGCCATGCTAAATGTCATCCGGCGGCGCGCCGCTATCGAAGGGGCGCTCGAGGGAGTCGATGATCGAAGTAGGCAGGATTCCTCGTCGAGCGCCGCTGCTTTGAGCCGGTAAGTTCTGTTTTTTCTGAGTCGTCTGTGCGTGTCTATTTGTGCGTATACCCGAAGGGCCCCGACAAGACAAGGAGGGTTTCGAGGGCAAGTGTGTAACCTAGTTTCTATTGTAGTAATTTGGACCCTTCCGCGGTCGACGTCGAGGTCGAAAGTCGCACCAACAGTACCAACAGTGATGATTTCATTCCGCTGTTGTTCAACCGACAGGAATGGGCAGACATTCTACCTGCCAACCCAAATGCCAACTCAATGGATCCTACTTCGATGACTTCTCGTGGAGACGACGACGGCGACGGCGACCGGGACGACGATCATAACGATGGCAGCAGCGGCAACTCACGACCTCGATTACCACCACGACGACAGCAACAATCATGTCCATCGTTTCGCCAACAACAGCAAGCCCCTTCAGACATGATTTACCACGGATTCGTTGCTCCACCGCAAACACAGCACCTCCAGGGCTTTGGGAACCTGCCCTTCTCCAGTAGCATCAGTGCCAACCACTATCCTCCGCGGATCCAAGAGCAGCAACTTGGGAATATATTTGCACCGTTGTGGAATATCCTTCCCATAACTACTCTCGGCGGTATTGCGTCTGTCAAGGAGTCCGTCGCAGCGACAGTCCGACATGCCAGGTTACTCATCCAATCTGGGCACGAGGTCGAGCACATTGTTGGTAAAAAGTGCAACATAGCAGCCATCCTCGATCGAGGCCAGTACAAGCGGTCAACGCTGCTCTCTCAATGGGCCGCAGGCTTGACCTACAGCTTTCAGCGCAAGACTAGGGATTTTGTTACATTTGCCTCTATGCATCTGATATGGACATTGGCGCGGTGGATGATCGTCCCGAGGCCAGACACGTACGAAGCCATTCCTGCATGGCTACGTCCTACGAGTAAGTTCACCATCCCACTGCTGTTGTACCAAGAACAAACTTTCAGTATCGTGGGTCCCACAAACCGAGAATGCCTTGGTGTTGTCCATACTCTTGTCAAGCTACCCTATACTGAAATATTATACCGTCGGCAGTGGACCAGCTCTTTGTTCCCCACGTGGAAATTGTGGACCTCGTGCTCTGGCCCGCCCCGAGGGACCTAGTCGTGAACAACGCGGCAACCCTACAGTCCGACTGGAGATGGCTTCATGACATGGGCGTGACTATCGATTGCGACTGGTTCGTCGATTTGGAGCTGGCACTAGAGATGGACCCCGTGACGGGAGAGATGTACCTATCGGAAGCAGCAAAGGTAAGAGATGCTAACCACATCGGGAGACCAAGTCAAAATGCTTACGCGGACTGGTTCTAGGCAACCGCTGAACAGCTGGAGAATTGGTCATTGGGGCCGACTATTCAACAGTACTTACCAGTCGACAACTGGAGTTCAATGGCGAGGATCAGGCCTGCTTTTGAGCAGCACCTTAGTTGATGTGGAGGGAGTATCCTGCGTTACTACGGCTCTTTCGGAACCACGCATGGAAGATTGACAAAGGTGTTATCATTAGGACATCAGGAGATGGCGAGAGCCTCTTCAAGTCATATAGAACTTCAGCTTCAGGGCGTGTAGATCTTGGGTATGGAGCATCATTCTGATTACAAGGAGTAGCATTTGCCATGCATTAGTGAGTACTAGCCGCATTTTGGGTCACGTCACAGAGAAGTGTGTATATACGATAATGAACTTAGATTTGATTCGTAACATGGCCTCTGCGTTACGCCCTGGAGTCATCGTTGATATCCCGTGCCTGCTTCCCAACACTTGCTCTCGCCTATCTGATGATGCAGGTTTCTTTGGCCTTACTTCAACAACCGGTGGTCGGCAGGTTCATTTCCGCCGCTTACGCTCGGAGAGGGGAAGAATCACAGCGGAGCGGCATTCTGCATGCAAGCCCCAACATCGACGCGCGAATCAGAGTCACCCTGACTCCAATGGACGCGTCTTCAACCGAGTCCAAGAAATGCGATCAGTAATGATAGCTAATCGCACTAAGCCCGACAGATCCGGGAGTCTCACCTATTCAGAAAATAGTGGTCAGGTCTATATATCTGGCATAGTGGTCGTCGAACAAATCCAATGAATCACATCACTTGAAACTCAAACTTCTAGGGAGGTCTACTTATACTTAACAATTCACCATGTCAATTTCCGACTGTTGCATCCGTGGCTTCACCTGGGATGGCACCCCGACCGGCCAAGTCGGCAAGCTCGCCAACAATGACGCTTATATCACCGGCAGCAACCCAGACAAAGCCGTGCTCCTCGTACACGACCTTTTCGGGTGGACTTTTTCCAACAACCGCCTGCTGGCGGACCACTACGCCAAGGAGGCCGACGCCACCGTCTACGTGCCGGACTTCTTCGGCGGCGACGTGGTGCCCTCCGACGACATCATTGGCGGCCACTGGGACAAGATCGACCTCAAGGGCTTCCTGGAGAAGCACGCGCGCGCGGTACGCGAGCCCGAGATCTTCGCGTGCGCCCGCGCCCTGCGCGCCAAGCACGCCCGCGTCGGCGCCGTCGGCTACTGCTACGGCGGGTGGGCGTGCTTCCGGCTTGCGTCCGCGGAGCACCAGCCGCCGCTGGTGGACTGCATCAGCACCGGCCACCCGTCGCTGCTGGAGAAGGCCGACATCGACGGCGTGGGCCGCGTGCCCGTGCAGGTCCTGGCCGCCGAGTTCGACCAGGCGTACACGGAGGAGCTGAAGCTGCACACGTTCCAGGCGCTGCAGAAGCTGGGCGTCGCGTTCGACTACCAGCACTTCCCCGGCGTCGAGCACGGGTGCTTGGTGCGTGGCGATGAGAAGAAGGACGGCGAGCGGGCGGCTATGGTGAGGGGCAAGAACGCTGCTGTTGCGTGGTTTAAGCAGTATTTGGACGCCGAGTGATGATTCCGTTGTCTTGATGATGTGTACGTATGGGATTTAGTGCAGTGGTGGCTCTGTTCATACTCGCTATCCCACGAATTGGCGAATTAAATGATGTCACCGGGAGCGCATTTCCATGAATTGACTATCTGATATGAATTAAATATAACCGCCATCAATTGCAGTTCTCTATTAGACCAGCCAAACTTATCAATCTTTAACGTTCATGGTCTCGCTAGACAGTCACCCTCGATCCGTTCATCTCGACAGCACTTCCCGAATCATCCCAGGATGATAAGCTCTAACTAGGGCAAGCAATACTCTTATTAGTGGTGAGAATTACAATTCTGTCTCAGATTGAACCCTCTGTCTACAAGTTTTGGGCAATTTTACCTCACCTACATCAATACAAGTCACTGTAGAACTAAAAAGAAGAAGAAATTGAAATCACAAAGAGCATACACGGTGTTGCCATTAGATGAGAAGTTTGACCAACTTTTAGGAGTAAAACCCATGATATCTATGACAGCTTTATCCACAGTCGATTTGTAAAATCAGTATTTGCAGATTCCTCCTGAAATGAGCAACGTAGTGTAGGAAGTCAGTAAGATCGCAGGTCTCTTTCCCCTTGCCCTGCTTGCCTCCAATTTGCTCCAAAAGCAACTCTAAAGCTCTTATTGTAGAGCAATATCTGAGATATATGGTCTCCGAAACTTTTCAGAAGTGGGTAAGTAGATTGAGCTGCACGTCGGTGCAAGCAATCTAAGTCACTGAAGAATACCGCCATCATTCCATATGACCATATCTCATTCTGAATCTGCGAACGCTATGCCGAGCACTAACTATAGCCCATCAACTTCTTAAAATCTCCCTACGGGCTGGTTCGTAGAAGGATTAATTACGTACAACTGCAGCCCATTGGAATAATGTTCAGCTACCTTTCTCACCTCAACGCGCAGCCCGTACGGTCCCGAGCTCCCCCTATTCGCTATGGTAATATCAGTTCTCCATTGAATCTTCGTCATGAGTGCATCGAAATTAATTGTTTCAAATGATGGTCCCGCCAATAATTCCCAGCAAGATGCTTTCTCCTGGGTTACCGCGAGGCCAATCCTTACGCCCGCTGGGCCTGAGACACCGGGAGAATCAGCAGTCGTTTGCACTAGTAGAAGCAAGACGGCATCTCCTTCTACTGTTACAAATTTGATAATTGCCCGATTTCTTTGCGGTATGCTAGGGTTGAAGGCCCAATTGAACGAATCTCCTTGGCATAACTCAAACGCTTGCGGTGGATAGTAGTCTGTCACTTGGTATCCCAAGCGTTGCATATGGCTCCAGTGAATCTTCTGGAAGTATCCTATTAACATGTTGGTGGGATAGGAAGTCAGATACGCCATTTTCCTGACAGCTTGGCCCTGGGTGCTCGCCGGTACGAGAAAGGGGTTGCTACCTGCAGCGCGGCTCGCGATGAGAAGACCCTCAGTCTCATCTTGTGAGCGAGTCCACGATATTGGCAGCGCGATTTTTGCATCGCCGTGACTGAATGGACTAACTTTACACTCTAATAGTGCAATGCCATTACTCACATTCACACTCTTTGACCCCAGAACCTCCAATTCGATAACGTTGAGTCCGATATGAAGCCCCAAATTCGTCATGAAATAATGATGTTTCGCTTCACCAGACCACACTTCGACGTCCCATCCCTGAAAGCAGAGTGCCGAGCTTGATAAGAGCGTTCCGCGGTTTATCGTTCGCGAAGCAGGAACATGGTGCGTTGACAAACCCCAAGCAAGTATCGACTGGTCAGAGGTCGCCTTTATGATCTCTTCCTGTAGTCGTCGCCATGCGTTTGAGCCCTCGCCATATAGCAGTGGCATGTTGATTCCAAAAAGACCCATTAGGCAATATGCCTCATCCTCTCTTCTTGTAGTTCTTCGGTGCGAAGCCCAGCATAGCTTCTCGGCAACTCCAGCATGGAAGTCACCTTTAGCGTCCTCAATAAACCTCTCTTTGATCCCCGTGATTTCTGCAATCAAATCTCGCATGTTCATGCGAATCCCAATAAATCTCCAGTCGCAATCATAGAATAGCACACGCTTCGGGGCAAGTAACTCTTGCAACGTCCAACCTCTTGTGAACCACCGACTCCGCCTGAATGAAGAATCCGCGGCTGAAGGCAAATCTTCCGCAGACACATCTTCGAGATAGACGAAACATGTCTGAGAGCCCTTATACCATTGAAACATGGAGTTGATGGCTTCAGAGAGCTCGGAGCTACTCTTCTTGTCGATACAGCAGGTGTCAATCCAGACGAAGTCCAGTTGTTTCTGCCCTGCCTCAGCGCAGAGGCCTCTGATCTTGGAATATCCTTTCTTTTGCCGTAGTGAAGGCACTTGTTGCTCGTATTCCTGGAACGTCACCTCTTCAGGCCCCCAGGTGTGAGACAGTATGGCATAGTTGGGTATGTCGTCATCAAAGAACTCTTGCATATGCCCCGTCTTAACGTTGATCAGCCGCATGTTAGGCGTGCGCTTGGGTATATCAACAGATGTGCCTGGTGACTCGCGAAGAAGGCCGGAGGTGTTATGTTATCGGAATTATGCTTGAGGCAGATCTGTTTCTCGTTCTGGACAGATCATTAGGAAATTCAAGGAGGGATCATGCAGTGACAAGCCGCGTGTAAGGCTACCAATCACCTTCCACCTTTCGTACGCAAATTTTATGGTTGCACGAAGCAGCTGGTTCACCGAAAACTTTCTTTGTTTCAACCTGATTGTGGAGACCATATGCGTTAGTCTAGTTTTACCCTTTCAGTAGGGAACAAACGGTTTTCAGCTTTTAGTTACCGGGGTTAAGGTATAGGTGCAGTCAAGCTATTACTATCTACGTGGGCAGGTTAATGTTGTCGGGATGGGCTTACTCCATATAGTTTATGCAGTAAAAGGGCCTGGATTCAGGTCTGTCGAGGCGTTGGTATACTCGTCTTCTCGGTCCCGAAGCTCCGGTCCAGACACCTTGGAGGCCCATCTGCACCGTCACTGTGGCTTGGATGTACCTTGGTGGACTTCTGAGGAGGTAAGCTGTGGTGAAACCTTGGTTGACATCGGCCTGGCATTTCGGTTCGAGAATGCGAGATCTCTCAGCCGCGGTGCGGAAAGAACGATGATACAACTAATGGGCAGATCATCCTAAACGTGTCGTACCAGCTATATATTAGCTAGTCAACTGTGACGGATCGATTTCTATAGCATATCTCAGAAGTCGACCGATAGCCAGCGTTGTGCAGGATATAATGCGTAGTAGTGCTGGCTAATCCAAACAGCAATTCGACAGATAAATCTCCCTGTTCCCCTCCTCGCGAGTGCGGAGTAACTGGGTGATCTGCGCTATCACTTTAGGATAACTGCAGCATCTTGCACTCCCCGCTTGTCATTGGACAACAAGCTGACCAACATGCATGAGGAACCACAGATTGTGGAGTCTCCAGCTGTCTGGCTGTCTACTCTAGGGCTGACATTCTGCTGAACTGCAACGTCTTATCACCTCTCTAACGAATTACTCTTGACCAAACAACATCATGGCACCCAATTTCGAAGATCTGCGAGCCTTGCTCAAGGAGGGCGATGTTCTCGTCCCTGGAGACGCGGGCTACGATGATAGCCTCAAGCGATGGAGTGCCACATCCGTCAAACCAGCTGTGAGCGGTCCTTACCCCTACACAATACCACTCGCATACTAAACGCATATAGGCTGCGGTGGCCAGGCCCAAAAATGCCAGCGAGGCCTCCGCCATCGTCAAATTTGCGACAAAGAACTCAGTCCCTCTGCAGGTCCGCGGAGGCGGGCACAACCCGTCCGGAGAGTCGTCAGCGGCGACCCCGGAGACCATGATCTTGGATCTAGCCCACATGCGCTCCGTCTCCGTGGACCCGTCGGCGCAGACGGTGACGTACGGCGGCGGGTGCACCTGGGAGGATGTGGACAACGCATTGTGGGAGCACAAGCTGGCGACCATCGGCGGAACAGTGAGCCACACGGGGGTCGGGGGCCTCGTGCTCGGCGGAGGGTACGGGATGCTCAGCGGGCGCCACGGCATGGCCGTCGACGTCCTCGTGAGCTGTGAGGTCGTTCTGGCGAACGGAGACGTCGTCACGGCGTCTGAGGACGAGAACGCAGATCTGTTCTGGGCGCTCAGAGGCGCGGGGTCGAGCTTCGGCGTCGTGACGCACTTCACGTCCCGCGCGTTCCCGCAGGGTGAAGTATGGGGAGGGCTCATGGCCTGGCCGTTCGACTTCCTGCCCCAGCTGGTGGACTTCGTCAACGAGTACCACGGGAAGATAGATGGGGACCAGTGGTTCATGCCGATGGTGATGTGCGATCGGGCAACCGGCGCAAGGCTCTGCGGCGCCTCCGTCTTCTACAACGGCAGCGCCGAGGATGGGCAGGCTTTCTACAAGCCGCTGTTGGATCTGCAGCCCAGGCTCATGGATACGACGGCGAAGATCTCGTATCCGGTCGTCAATACGATGACAAATCCCATGGCGACGCCGGGCCGACGATACATGTTCGGAGGAGCCAACTTCACGTGCCCGCTTGACCTCCAGACGATGAAAGACGCTGCCGAGGAGTACTACAATGGGGTGAACAAGCCTGGCAACGAGGAGATCCGGACGAGTGCTTTTGCTCTAGAGGTCATTCCTCAGGGCAAGATCATCGAGTACGGCAAGGAAGACAAGACCAGCTTTGCGGGACGCGCGGGCAAGTATACGGTTGTGTTGATCATGTCATGGGATAACGAGGACCGCGATCAGGAAGCGCGGGATATCGCGACCAAGGTCTCAGGCGTATTCAAGGCCAAGTATGGGAAACGTGATGCAGAAGCCGAAGGCGCTGATACGTATTATAATTACCTGAGTGAGCAGTTGTCGCGCCTTTTTACGCTTTATCTTTTTGCTAACCTTTGGTCAGACCCCGACGTCCCCACAGACATGGCTGCGATGAAGACCGGAAGGCTCTTTGGCAACAAGGCCCCGAGGCTGAGGGAGTTGAAGGCGAAGTACGACCCGACTAATGTGTTTTTCAAGAACGTCAACCTCATGCCCCTCGAGAACTGAGTGCTACGCAACAGCCCCCCAGGGTGATGCCCTCTGAGAGGTCAGCTCAGGAAAGCAGCTCGAAAGGAGACCAAGCAAGGGTGGGCATCAATCACTCGCCCTCAATGTACCCTTTATAGTCAGCGGTTACCAAAGGACTTTGAACCTAAAGGTTATCGATCTATTCAATAGAACCACCATCTCCGGTATAATGGACTGGGGCATTGGGTGAAGACTTCTGGCCCTAAATATATGCAAGAAGATATAATCAAGTCAATCGGGTGGCTCTCGCCATTTGAGATCTTGGTGGCTAATGCCCAATTCGATGCGATCTTGACCAAAACAAGTTGTATTGGGCTTCGTCTTGGGAATTAGACTCCGTAGGATCTGGTGCAAGCAGGGGGGCGTACGGGCCAGCCTCTGGCAGCTGGCGCCGGTGACCCGCTGCCACGGATGAGTGCCGTCCCCATCAGTGCAAGTTGATTGCATTGCAGAAAACCAGGCTCGATGGGCAATCGAAGTGACTCGAAAGCCGAAGGCATATGTAACTATATCGACTGCTTTGCCTGGCCGCGGCTCGGATGTTGACGGATATGCAAAGCACCAAGAGCGACGTGCACGGAAACCTGGATGACTGCCACCCGAATGCCGTGGCCAGTGGACTTTAGTTCCGCTCCTTGGACGCCCCTATAGACGAAAGATCTGGGGTTCTCAGAGATAGAGTTTCCCGGGTAATGCAACTGCGTAATGACGAACTGATAAGAGCCCGTGGCAACGGTCGACATTTAGGTAATGGGCGGTTGCATCTCGGCATGGCGCATATGACCACCAGCTGCAGCTACCAGGGTGGTGACTTGGTGTCTTCGTGTGTTGGTGCTGGTTTCTGTCTCGCCAGTGACATCATCCCGGTTCCCTCGTCTGGGCGTTGCATGGGGTGGTAGGGAGCCAGAGTTTGTCAACTATACGAGCCCCCAGAATTTCGTTCCGAAGCCGAAGGAGGCCGTATACAACAGCGAGTATAGACAGCCGTCCGGGTTCGACGCTTCCAGGGAGACAAGACCAGAATTCTCCGGGAAAAGCATCGCGAGGACTATCTACTTCAAGAGCGCGTGAACCCAAGTGCCCCGAGACTAGTTTCGCCGTGGCCAGCCTTCATCTGAGCGAGACGACCCCACCACCAGAGCATTGCCCAATGGCCGCCGGGCGGTGGTGGGGTTGACGATAAGCCGCGGACAGGGGGCCTCCGCAGAGGTACTCGAGCTGTCGGCCGAGGGCCGCCCTCCCCAGAAGTACCGCTCCACCCCAGCTAGACCGTTCCGCTCCCAACGCCAGTGACCTTGCTCGGCCCACCTCTAGACAAGATACTTTGGGGCAATGGCATTTCCAGCACGATCTGTGTGTTGCTGTTATTAGTAGTAAGTTGCCCGTAGTGTCGCAATCTGTGCGTCGTCACGATACTTCTTTTTTTTTTTTTTCTCTCTGGAGGTTTTTCTGACGTGCGACTTTTCATTGCCACTGCTCCTGCTCCTGTTCTCGGTCCAACGACGGGAATCGCTGTGTGTAAGTGTGTGTGTGCGTGTGAGTGTGTGTATCCTGTGCTGGGTTTGTGCTCGCCGTCTATGTTGTGAAATCGAGACTAGCAAGACAAACATCCCACTACCCGAGCCTTCTGTGTTGGCCCGTACGCCGACGCGACAAATCTGGGAAATTCCTCTGCGTGGCCGCCCAGGTGTCTTCGCGCTGCGAGATTGCAAACCGACGACCGGGAACCGTCCACCAAGGCGGCGTCCTTGAGCAAGTGGCAAACATGGGTTCGAGGCAGGCGACAACGCTCGGCGAGTTCGAGCAGCGGACCGGCGGCAGCAGCGAAAGCCTGTCGTCGTCTCCGCGCGGAAGCGTCCATTTCGAGGAGGGCCAGAGTCTGCTCGGCGACCGCGAGCCTCGCGAGAGCGACGGAGAGTGGACGGGACGCCTCAGGCGCAGGTAAGCAACTATGCCCGTTCACAGCCGGCTCCCAGCACGTCCCCGCGGCTTACTGACGCGACTTCTCTGTTAGATCGTCGGTACAGAACAGGCTCGCGGCCATCACCGAGATTGGCGGCGTCAACTCGCTGCGGAACTTCTCGCGCAGTTGGCAGCGCGCGGCCGCCTTTGCCGAGATCATCCCGCAGCGGCCCTCCTTCGTCTTCGCGCCCGACCAGGAGCCCGTCGAGCCCATCACGTACGGACGACACGATGTCGAGGGGGGCGCCCGCACGTCTCTGCTCCAGGGCCAACTGAACACCCACTCCCCCGAGAACGCCATCCTTGATGTCGACGAGGACGCGGCGTCCACGGCCGGGCCCCACCGCTCGCTGCTGCACGACAACGAGAGGAAGCGCTCCGACAATGACCTTCACCGAGCCATCTCGGCGTCTGGCTCCGTCCGGAGCAACTCGATCTTCGAGGTTCCGCCGCACCTGTCGGCTATGCCGCTTGTGGGGAGCTACTCTTCATACAGATCGTACGGGTCGGTCCAGTCAGACGTCAGCCGCCCCTCGATGGCCCACGCAGCCGATCTGTGGCGGCAACAGCAGCAGTCCGGCGCCGACCTACCGGACGGGGAACGGCCGGCCATCATTGTGAAGGAGGTCGAGCAGGAGGACGGCAAGATTGTCCTGGCTGCCGTTGGCCAGTCCACGCTGCCTCAGACGATCATGAACTCCACCAAGTAAGTAGTATATTTGTGTCCCAAGACCAAGTATACAATTGCTAACACTCAATTTTCACCAGCGTCCTAATTGGTGTGGGACTGCTTAGTCTGCCGATTGGAATCAAGTATGCCGGCTGGCTGTGTGGTATGATCACTCTTCTGGCCGGTGCCGCTGTTACGGCCTGGACCGCCAGGCTTCTGGCCAAGTGCATGGATTTGGACCCGTCCGTCATCACTTTCTCTGACGTCGCCTTCATTTCGTTCGGGAGAAGGGCTCGGATCATCACCAGTATCCTCTTCACTCTTGAGCTGCTCGCAGCTTGTGTGGCACTCATAGTGCTGTTTGCGGATTCCCTGAGCCTATTGTTCCCCGGCTCTCTGAGCGTTACCCAGTGGAAGATAGTCTGCACCTTGATCTTGATACCCCTTCAGTTTGCCCCCCTGAAGATTCTGAGCTTTACGAGCTTCATAGGCATCGTCTCAGTCATGAGTAGTAAGTCAAATTCCAAGTGCTTCTTACATCGGACCTTCACTAATATCAACCTCAAAGTTGCCTTACTGGTTATTGTAGATGGCTTGATAAAGCCATTTACCCCTGGATCTCTTATTGAGCCAGCAACGACCTACCTATTCCCCGCAAACTGGCTAACCCTGCCTCTGTCTTTTGGTCTATTGATGTCGCCATGGGGCGGTCACAGTGTCTTCCCTAATGTGAGTACCAAATACGGCCGTATAGTCAAGGGTGATTGTATTAACTCGTCCTAGATATACCGTGATATGAGACACCCGCATCGATACAGGGAGGCAGTAACACTCACGTTCAGTTTCACAGTAAGTTATACAACCTCGAAGCTCCTGTAACCTTCCAGCAAGCTCACACTGAAACAGTATGTGATTGATGCCACCGTTGCCATTGTTGGATACGTCATGTTCGGCGACGGCGTCCGGGACTCGGTCACTTCCAACATTCTCCGCATCACCGGCTACCCGGCCATCTTGAACATCCTGCTCGTCATCTTCATCGCCATCATCCCGCTGACCAAGATCCCGCTGAACGCGCAGCCCATCATCAGCACCATGGAGGTGCTCGCGGGGCTGCGGCAGCAGGTGGTCGCCGAGGACTCGCTCCTCGTCGGGCGCTCCAGCACGTTCCGCGGCCTCATGAAGATCTTCATCCGCATCATGACCCTGTTCGTCTTCCTCATCGTCGCTATCCTCTTCCCGGCCTTCGACTCCATCATGGCCTTCATGGGCAGCGCGCTCTGCTTCACCATCTGCATCACGTAAGGATCCAGCCCCCCAGTCCCGTCTCCTGGGCAATCTGATCATAATAGCTGACCTCGTACCTCTTCTGATAGTCTACCTCTCGCCTTCTACCTCAAGCTCTTCAGCCACGAGATTGACACTAAGGAGCGCATCCTGCTGTGGTCCGTCATGACCCTATCGTTTGTGCTCTCCGTCGTCGGGACCGTGTGGGCCTTCCTGCCCAAGAGCCTGATCGGCGCCGAGGAATAACAAATTACTATGTCTTTGGGCTTGTCGTTTGAGTTATGTTTTTTTGGCATTTCCGATCTCACTTGCTACATACCGCGTAGCTGCATGACCACTGGATGAAACGATTCTCGCATGGCATTTCCCATCAAATTTGATCATTTGCACGACGCATGGCATATCACGGCGTACCCAGTTTGTTGGCAGTACTCTTTGTAAGCGAGCAGGGCTTTGAGCTATCTATAACTTATACATACATCATACATATATATGTTATGCGCCGCCGGCGTAATGGGTCGGCAGCATGTGTGTTGGGTAATAATACAATGAATGACATGGTTCACGGAGATTTCCAAAGTCTGTTTCTTTCTAAGTGCTCTATGATACCCTCATGATCTATTTTAGCACAAAGTGGAAGAGACAATTAGAGCCTTACCCTTGTGCACGATTGGTACTGTCTTGATACCTATGCATGGCTACCATCAAGGGCACTCCTGGAGCTGTGTGGCCAAAGTCGAGTTCGAAACTACTAACTGACGAGGGTCAGGCAGAGGTCAGTCATGTCGCGTCTTCCGCTCGTGGCGGGATGTCGCCCCAGCACCTTGCAATTTAGGGATGACGAGGAGGAACTGCAAATGCAAGAGACGTGAAATAGCAAAACATAAATAGATACCTACCTAGAGGTCGTTGCTATTTCCCTAACCAGATGTTGCAACCTTGGATAAAAGAGCAGTCAGCAAACTTAGCTCCGCCACAGACATTGCAATTCACAGCTTATACGGGTGGTAGTATCAATCAGCGTATAACGCATACAAGTGCCAGGCAAGAGTCGAAAGTCAAGCAAGGTTGGCATGTAGTCACAGAGCAATGTGGAACGTTTTGTTTTGAGCAGGTAACTTCTGGTATTCTTTGAGTAATCCGTGACTATCTAATACACAGAGAGCGAGTTGAAGCTAGATCGTACCACCAAGGTTATGTGAGGGTTGCCGCCCAGTCCTGAATACTACCAATAAAAACCAATCTCCCGTTGGTTCCCTGAACACAATCTCCGACGCTTTCCAAAATAACTTTCCAACAAATGTTAAATATGACTGAAATGAATGCAGGTGGCAACCCTTGAAAGAGAAATAACAAAACCTTTGGTGGTAGATGAGCCCAACTACAAGAGGCTACCGGCAAGGACTACCCAAGTCAATGGGCATCCTGCCAATGGCCAACCCACCCAATATCCTGACGCTTTTCACGCCGGTTCCAGTTCCAATCTCGACCCTTGTTCCACGGGCATCCACGAGTTGTGTTGCCCTCCTTGTTCCACTTGTTGCTGTGGTGATTATAGTTGTTGTAGTCCTTCAGACCAGTTGGTGATGTGTGCTGGTTGGTGAAACCCAAACCGAAGGGCTCTCGCGACTTGGAGAACAGATCAGGACGCTTCTGTTCAGACGTGTTGGTATAAGCACGACGCTTCTCACCAAGAGCAGCCCATCGGTCGACGTCGCTGCGCTTCGGTGGAGGAGAGTAACGCTCAGGCGATGGCGAAGGTTGCTCGACCACGACAGACTCGTGGAAGAAGAACCCGTCGGCAACCATGTCTCCGTCAATGTCATCAGAGAAGGTGTCATGAACAGGTGAGAGCACGGGCTTGTCGTCCGAAGCTTGGTCGTGGGGAGTAGGCGTAGCATTCTCCTTGCTGTCTTGGCTCCAAGTTCGGCTGTTGAGCTCCTTCAAGGCTTGGACCTGGCGGGCATGTTCAGACTCATCCTCCTCCTCATCTTCCTCCCAGAGATCGCTCCAGCTCTTGCTCTGCTGCTCCTTCTGGCTGCCAAAGACCATGGACATGGCACTCAGGCTGACCTTGGGCTTGTTCATGTTGATCGGCAGAGAACCAGCCATGGGCGACACCTTGGCACCAGTACGAGAGGGGATGTTCAAGGGGCTCAGGTTGAAGGAGTTCATCGAAGCCCCCAGGTTGGAAGTCAGGACCGAGGCAATGGAGGGGGTCTGAGCAGACGACATCCAATCAACGGTGCCTTCGGACTTGGGGAACAATTCTTCGGTGTAGCTCTCGTCGTCGGGAATGGCGCTGAGCTGACGGATGGCCTGCGGGGGGCTTGCGTGCAAGGCCTTGGCCCACGGGAAGGCACCCTGATCCATCTGGGGCGACTGGATCGAGGGAGTCCGCAGGGGTTCGCGGTTGGCGGTGGCCATGGGTTGACGGTCTGCGCAACAGTACTCGTCATCCTCTTCCTCTTCCGTGGTGAAGCTGACGACTCGGCGAAGAGCCTGCTTGGCACCGACGAGTGAGCGCTTCTGAGGATCGAGGCTCATGCACTGGCAGATGACTTCATACGTGTCCTGCGACATCGTGGGGAAGACGTCGAACAAGCTCTGCTTGTCAAGGGAGAAGTCTGCGAACCAGGGATCCGACTCGGAGGGTGCAGAGAAGGGGTTCCTCGAGAACAGCACATTCAGGAGAACGATGCCGATGGCCCAGATGTCCGCCTGAGCTGGCGAATATCCAGATCCGTCGTTATCGTACTGCTCCGGGCTCATGTAGCGATCGCTGCCTACAGCGGTCTCATAAGACCACTTCTCCGTGGTGGCCAGGCCGAAGTCACCGAGCTTCATGGCGCCAGACTCGGTCAGGAAGATGTTCTCCGGCTTGATATCGCGGTGGTAGATGCCCATGCCGTGCATGTACGAAACGGCATCGACAAGTTCCATCATGAAGCCACGGACGTGCTCTGTGGAGATGGGTCCATGTCCAGTACGGATGGCCTCGTAGAGGTCTCCCTGCTGGCAGAATTCAAGGACCAAGTAGTGGTGGGCATCGGTCTCGAAGTTGTCCTTGAGAGCTACGACGTTGGGGTGCGCGCCGAGGCGGCGGTGACAGAAGAGCTCCTCGGTCTTGTCGTCGAAGGCAATGTCGTACCCGGCCTCGTTGGCCGCGGACTTCTTTGTCACGCACTTCAGAGCTACCTTTTCGTGGGTGTCGATGTTCTTGGCCAGCATGACCATCCCGAAAGATCCGGAGTTGAGAGGGGAGAGGAGTTGATACTTCCCACCCAAGATAACGCCATTTTGAAAGTTGTTCCGCAAGCATTCCATTGGGGTGGTTGAGAAGAGAGAAGAGGTGTTGCGACCACAAGTGATGGTACAGTTGTACAAAGATACAACCCGTTTCCAGACGTCTATGTGAACCACCGGGCCAAGTTTCCTAGCCTTGTGTACAGTTTTCGAGAGACCAGTCCAGATGCCGAGAAATGCAGATGATCTTTTGGAGCAGCTGACGGAGGATGTTGATTGTTGATCGAGCGGGGTCGTCTAGAGGGTCGAGCAGAGATATACAGGGTTGAGTGCGCGTAGGAAAGTAAAGGACATATAAACTCCAATTGTTCGTTGCAGGTCAGAGGCTCATCGATGGGTATTTTATCATTCGGGTTGTTGTAACAAATGGAAAGTTGAGGATTTTCGTCAAAAGACCGGACGGAAGTCCGTGAAAGAGTGAAAGGGAAGATGATTCGTTATGAGGACATTGATGATTGTGTAAAGGAAATCAAAGAGTGAAGGTGGTATTGATGGTGTTTGCGTTTGTCCGATGGTGGTGATGCGGACCTGGGCCGATTTAACGGTAGTCGGGTTGCAAGGCAGGCACAGGTAGAAGCTGATGATGATTCCGACCAGGCGACAGCGCTTGAACGTGTCGACAGGAAGATGCTTTAGTTTGTCTAGAGCTGCATCTGAACGGAGAGAGGGTGGCGTGCGTGTGGGTTGGATTGACGAGACGCAGCAGCGAGAGAGTTGGGAGAGAGGGGTGATGATAAGGGGGTAGGCCAGTGACGACCGAGTCGGCGGGAGGATCGGAAGATCACGCACGGTGGGTGGGCGGTGGATTGAGGGTCGTCGATAGCTCTCGAGAGCAGTCGACTTGGGGGACTCGACGATGTTTGAGTGTTATAAAGTCCAAAGGGGGTGTGACTCCTCCGGAGCTTGAGCGGAAGCCTGTTTGTCAACGGGCCTTGGACCAAGGCGGATGATCCTGGCCTAGTTGCGGAGCCGGTAATTGATTGATGGAGTCAGCGGGTGTGACGTGGTGGTGAGCACGCACTCGGGGCCTCTGGGGGATCAGACACCGGGATTCCAGTGATGAAGCTCGTCGAGGGGAGTGGTGGTTGTCGATGGTGGTGAGTGAGAGGATTAAAGCAGCCTCTTATCGGACAAAAAGGACGGGAATCGCTTTGTTGTTCTGATGAAAGACGCCGGGGAGGCGGTGGGCGGACAGGTCGGGAAGGGAAGGAAAGGAAGACGGTGAGAGTGTGGTATTATTAGGTACGGAAAGATGGCAAGGAAGACCTGTCGCTCTCTCTATGCTGCTGGTGCGTTGTCGAGACGGCGTATGTACGTGAAGCGCAGACAGAGAGGGAGAAACAGGGAGCGAACGGGCACGAAGATAAAAGGTTAGGGTGTTGGCAAGTTGAAGTCGGTGAAGGAGAAGCAGGACGGACAGGATTGGGAAGGGTGGATGGGATGGATGGACGGCTAGACGCAAGAGGACGAGCGAGGGGACCCGAGAGTGGAACGAGGGTGGGCGTGGGCGAGCGAACACAATGGGATGGGGTGACATAACCCATACCATACCACAGTAGGCCTGGCTGTCGGCTGTGTGGAGAGGGCGTACGGTGCGAGACACCCCGCAGCCGCACAGCCCGGCCGTGAAAGATGACGATGGCCGCGAGCCCGCCGGGTAGCAGGGTACGGGCAAAAGTGTTGAGATTGCGCATTACCGCGGTGGAACCCCAAGTACTGGCATATCTGGTCAGACCGCGCTCCAGACACCCGCTGCCATCTGGGCGCAGCCCACAGTGTAGGCACGCCCTCTGCCACCTGCTTGGCCCAGAGCTGCCGGCGTCTGCTGCGGCCTCTCACAGAAGCTTCTAGGAATGGAATGGCGAACGGGGCTAACGACAGCACGCGGCCAGTACATGGGGCCGGCCTGCGTCTAGCTGCAAGCGGCTGGTCTCACACAGCCATTGTACATCTGCGTCCGTACCCGACAGCGCGTTCGTGCAGCAAACTTGGGCGCTGCCCGCTGCAGAAGCGACGTGGCCCAAAGGTACCCCCGTGGGCGATCGGCCACCACCGAGTACCGCGAGGGTACCGTCTGCTAGCGGCCCCTAGCAGAGCCTGGGCCTGGGCACAAAGACACGTTGAACCAGCACGCGCAAGTGCTGCATGACCAAGCTTTGCTGGCTAGCAGGCACTGGATGTTTCTGTTCGGCTCCATTGTTCGTCCCTTTCCAGCAGCTTCGAGGCCATCCCAGTGGGTTTCGCGGCCCCCAGCTTGCCAGCCGAGCAGAGAGAGCCTGGCAGACCTGGCAGACACCCTTCAGGATTGCTGGGCCCTCCCCAATCGGTACTGGCCGCCTGCAGCTCCTGAAGCCTGCAGCCCATCCTGCCACGAACAGCTACCGCCGTTCCTTTGCGACCGTTTACCGCCATTGTGTAATCTTAAAGTGCTGCAGCATGCTGGAAAGACGGTCTTGACGGCGGTTCTTGGGCCCATTGGCGACGGCAGCTGATCTGTAAGACAAGCTCATCAAACAAACCCAAGGGAAAAGTCACTGCATCACGTTCAACTTCAAGCTCCAGCCGGGGGAGCTGGAGGGGCGAGGGGCGAGGGGCGTTCCAGCCTCGGGGTCGCGGCCGGACCCCGAAGCGCTGGAGCGCTGGAGCGCAGCAGCCTGGGAGCTTTGGCTTTGAACTGACCCATGGAGTGAACGCGTGACGGGTGCAGAAGAAAAGCATTGAATGACTTTGAGCTAGTAAGCAGTGGCAGTTCTAGCCGTCCATTGCCTGATTACCCAATGCAATGCAGGCGTGCATGGAAGCTTAATCCAGGGGGGCAATTAACGTCGCTTGGTCGCCATGTTTTTATTATTTGTTTGTTGCCGGTGTTCTGCGTGCTTGGTTTGTCTGGCTACCATAACAACGTCAATTGAGCCATGCGGCCTCAGTATTGGCTGCGTCGACGTCAGTTTCGGGTGAGTGATGCCATGTTCTGGCCGTCCTTGAGTGATCAGCTCGGCCGGGTTGCGTGATAGGTCCATTCCTCCGGCTTGTCTGACGACGACGCTATGCTCTGGGGAGCAACCCCCCAATGCCAGGCGTCCTGTCGTGTGACCCTGCATTGCTATGGCCCTCATGGCTTCAGTATCGTCCGATTTGTCTAGTATGTCGCGATACTTTGACGCAAACATGTCATGTCTCAGTCCCTGCTCGATTCTTCGTGTTCACATGGGCGCGCCTATTCATTCTCGCTCTTGGTGTGGTGGCACGTCCGTGGGTTTCAAGCTTCCCCAGATTTCCCAACCGCGAAGCAGGAGCACTCGCACCGAGGCGCCGACTAGGGGAGCTGGGCGAGGTCGCTTCTGCGCCTCTGAAACCAGCATACACAGCAGCACGTAAGCTCAGCATTGACTGACATAGATGGACCCCACCCCCCTTGGCAAGCTGTTGACGCTTGCTTGAAACAAGCTGCGCAGCTTCCTGGCCCTGCAAGCCCTGTTAGATTCCAATAATATATTAACAGAAATATGGCAAAGCTGGCGGTGTGGACGATCGTGGCATCGCAGAATCTGCCAGACAACAACACAGCGCTTCCCTGCCGGCCTGGGCGAATCGGGAACCAGTGCGAGAGGAGGACGCCCTCGTCTCTGGTCTCCGTGTCGTCGGACTAGGCCGCTTGGAGGCCGTTGCGATCAAATGGGAGCGCGCGGCCGTTGTTGGGATGTGGGCGAGCAGAGACATGCGTTGATGCGAGTGCCCTTTGAACGCTGCCTCTCCACGGTTCTGCTTGGTCCCTTCCATGCAGCTCGCATGCAGTGTTACCCATGGTGCAGCTATGGTGCGATGCCTTGGACGAATGCCGCGCCGTTCCTGCGACTAGCCCATGTTTGCTCTGGGGCAACCGATTGGTACCGTATGCAGCCCCCAGGCGCCTGAGTGGCCGTCTGCTGATAACAGCAGATGGGTGGTTTGGTGTTGATTTGGCTGGAGTCTGGATTCGCTCTACGAGGCCTGGCGCGGCTTGGGTCCTTGCAAACGCTGGGTTTGGTGCCATGCAGGCCGACTTTAGTAAGTTGGCTGGTTGGTCGGCGCGCCTGGGTATTCGCTGGTTTCGTTGATAATGTCGTCGATCTCGCCCAGCTCTGCCAGCCTTTTTTTCCCCTTGACAAGTTCACATCGATCCGGCGCATCTACCGATAGAACATAGTCGGACCCGGGTGTTGCCTACTCCTGTCGTCGGACCTGGGCCTACACCCATTTTGGAGGCTGGCTGTCCACATGGATGCGTCCAACTTGGAAGTGCGCATTAGTGTCGCATTATCGATTTCATCAGACGCTTTAGAGTATCGAGCTACTGGTTATCTTATCGATTAGCGACGAGGTGCATAGTGGTCCAGTACCCACTGGCTCTTTGTCTGCATCGGAGGATGTCGTTCCCAACCATCCCGATTTGCTTCGTGCATCATTCGGAACTGTAAATGGCTAGTCAGCAGCGATTGTACGGCGAGAGAATAAGAAAGAAAAATATCAACAGGCAGCTGAGTATCTGTCTGGGCCGCCAACACCGTCTTTTCCGCCTAGCTGTGTCTGCTGCCCGCCTAGTTACTGTACATACATACTACTCCATACTCCATACTCCATACACACGCACAGCTCATAACTAGTACGTACATACATGATGACAACTCCACTGAAAGTCTACCGCTGCAGCCGGCCCCAAAGCCGGCCGTGAAGCTGCATTATCGTGCAAAGCCGTATCGGGCATCTCGACTGCTACCTTACCCTTTTCAGACACCAACCTTCTGTTGACCGCCTTCTCGACGACACCTTGGCTACACACCTAACCCACATTTGACCATCCATTTACTTCTGATTTGGCATCGTGTCGCTAAACCTGGTCTGCAACTCGCAAGGTCACGAAATTTTGCGACGAGAAAACTTTTTTCTCGCGATCCCGAACGCGTCTCAGCCCTCACCGCTCCGCCCGACGGGCAGTCTAGAGTCTAGCTCCCGGGAACCCGTGTGGCCCAGCTGCCCGATTCGCAGACGCATCTCAGATTACAGACAGGCACCTTGGAGCTCCCGGAGCTGTTGCGAGATATGGCCGCCTCTGCCGCAATCAAGGTTGTGGTGCTAGACATCGGTGAGTTGTGAAAGAGCTCACCCGAGTCCCCAAGCTCCCATCCCGACTCCCTGGCCCTCCCCCAAGCTACCCACAACGATCCGCCGCACGCACATTGCTCGGAGTTGCATTAGCTTGACCTGCTGGCTAATCAGCTATACCTCTTCAGAAGGGACAGTCTGTCCCATTTCGTTCGTCCGTGATGTTTTGGTAAGCCTGAATCCTGGCTCGCGCATGAAGAAATTTCCTGCTCCCGTAGTCTTGGGCTGTCGGTGAGAACAAGTGACTTCCTGATGATCTGCATTGCAGGTCGTCGTCGTATTGCAGTCAAAGCAGGCCTGTCCTTGCGGTTCACCCTGTCTTGTTCGATATTTGGGTCCCGGGAATACCCTATCCCTAGGTCTCGAGGGAGACATCGGGGTTTCTTGCACCTCGTTATGTTTTACATGCCTAGACTTGGAATGACGAATAGTGCTCGTCGTCCAATCACACGGTTGCTACACCAGGACTAAGGCTGACAGCACGTTCTCTCAGTTCCCCTATTTTCTGGAAAAGATCCCAGAGACCGTCAAATCAGAATGGGACAGTTCACGGTTCAAGGAGTATCGAGACGCATTTCCTGAGGAGTTCAGATCCAGCCAGGAGGCTTTCCAGGCTCACGTGATCGACCTGGTGTCCCGCGACGTCAAGATAGCATATCTCAAGTCGCTCCAGGGGTATATCTGGCAAGAGGGATATGCTTCAGGGGAGATCAAGGCGCCGCTCTTCGCGGATGTGCCAACCGTCCTGTCTAGGTGGCATGGGAAGGGGATCAAGTTGATCATCTACTCCTCCGGATCAGTGCCCGCCCAGAAGCTCCTCTTCAAGTACACGAACGCTGAGCCCTCGGATCTTACTGTGCTCCTTACAGATTATTTTGATACAGTCAACGCAGGCCCCAAAACCGAGGCAGCAAGCTATGAGAAAATTGTTGCCAAACATCCAGAGTTCTTGCCGGAGCAATTTCTATTCCTCAGCGACAACGTCAAGGAGGTGGATGCTGCCATTCAGGCGGGCATGCGGAGCGCGGTTGTGCAACGTCCTGGGAATGCAGATCTTCCTACTGAGGTATATGACACTCACCAGGTCGTCGAAACATTCGACTCGATCGAGGAGGACTTCAACGTGAAGACGCTGCAGACACTTGGCAAGAGATCCGCGGACGAGGCTGCAGCCGACGAGAAACCGGAAGCTCAGCCGGCTGACACAACGGAGCCTGAAGGCGCGCCGGACTCCAAGAAAGTGAAGACTTCCATTGGTGAAGAGGGAGCGACCCAGGGCGAGGAAGAGCCCGCCGAAGAGCCGTCCCAGATCGACAAGCTCCTTGCTCAGGCCGTCGGGGATGCGCCTATCACTCCTACAGAGACCACCAGTGAACCTACCGAGCTTGCGGAGTAGGGTCCTTATCTGCGTATCTGTGACGATCACTTGATATCTGGATAAGACCCGGTGGCCCGTCCAAGAGGTGGAGCGCAGACCTAGCGACACTGATCTGACGTTTAGAGAGCTCTGGCTCTCACTTGATGGTGGTCGTCACAAGTGACATGGCATGTACTTCACAAGTTTGCGTCCCTATAAGCGCGAACCATGCTCGAAATGGCTAGACAAAAGGATTTACAGTAGTTTCTATAGACCAGAAGACGGCTTTCCAATCCAAGATAGCCATCAAAATACTAGGCAACGTTTAAAAAAAGCGCCGAATGGCTCTAGTCACCTTGTCCGTTCCGAGCCGGCATATCACATCCAGGCCCGGCTTATCTCCTGTTCAACGGGTTCTGTCTATGTGCTATCTACGGCTGCAGTCACGTCGAAAAGTCAATCATCACGCTTGGGTCCTTTAAGCTTCACGTTGCCCCTGCATACAGTGTCTCGGACACTGCCGTGTGAGTGCGAGAATAGTAGTCAGCAGAACGAACGGCCACAACGCGCCCCCAACGGACGTCTGGGCGAAACTCTCGTGATCCCAAGCGAACTATATCGAGGCGCGCACGCTGACTCGCCGGCAGCGATGGACCCTGAAGCGCTGGATGGCTCGGGTGAGACCCAGGCACAGCCGTGTCCCTCTTCAGCCGTCGTTGCCGGGGGGAGGGGGAAAATTACACTTTATTAGTCCTGCTTGCTTTCTCGCTGATATTGGGGTAAGACAGGCGGGGGGAGGGAGGGGGCAGATTTCGTCAGGCTGAGCCGTGTGATGATCACGATGGTGTGATTCTGTGTGTCTCGAACAATTCGGACTCAAAGTCTATTTGGAAAATGGAAGAAGGAAGAAGGATTTCGGCAGTATGCGTCGTCGCATTGTTGTCCCGAGCTGCCCACGTGGGAGTGGAATATGCTGCTGTTCGGATTGCCGGCATGGGGAAGCCCCTTGAAGGCGTGACTAATGACAGTCAACTACATACCCCAAATTGTTGCTGATGAACTGCGACATTGGGCGAGCACGCGACATCTTGTCTGAAGATTATATTAACCTCCTGCAGGCTGACGTATCGTATTGTTTCATACATATCCTTCAACGCTGTCGACGGGCGATGCACGTTTAGTACTAGTATTCGTATTGCCTATATCTCTATTCGGAAGTTGCAGCCCATAGCATGCGTCGAAGATCACTTGCTATCGCGCCAAAGGCATTGTCGCCCAAAAGCTATTGCAGTTATGAACATGGGTGGCGTAGCCAGAAGAGTCTGGCCATAAACTTGCGCATGGTGACTTAGTTTCTGATCAAGCAGTGGATCATTCGCTCTTCACGATGTACGATCGTGAGTCTCATCACGGTGCTATCAGATGGCTATATTGTGATTGGCCAATCCCCACCAATCGACTCGTCTAGCAATATGATCCATCGGTTTCATACAGAGCGAGACAACAGTTCGTCACTCCACAAACGGTAGGATGTGTGCCTCCCCCACTTGAAGATGTCGTCTGACCACAAAGTGTGGAACATTGTTGGTGGTAACCACATCGCAAGCCGTGTCTTGTCATGTTGGGGTAGCGGGGTACTCCTTAGCCCCAGGTGATAGACGATCTTGTCAAGTCTAGTAAGCTGCAAGTGGTATCCATGCTATCCTGCATGAAGACACATCGTAGACCAATGGCTACTGGCTTCTCCCACGCAAACCTTTTCCTCGCTGTGCTTGGTGGTCTCGAGGCGAACCGGAATGGCTGCCTTGCGCCGCAAAATGCAACTTCGAGAGCATCAATTAGAGGAAGTGCATGGTGTATCGTCATCCTGACGCCGTATCGGGCTGCTGGTAAGGACATGGCCGATCCTTCCACTCTGCCTTCTGGTGAATGAAGACAGAGCCCAAGGCAGAATGGGAGACAATGGAAGCAGAGTGCCCGCAGCTCAACCTGGTGAAGTACGAAGTACGATCGCGAAGTTATTCCTCGATGCTCCGGTCCGAGTCTGCGTCTTCGTAAACTTCCTTCGGGGTATTGGAAGGCGTTTCCTCGTCCAGAGATAGTAAACCAGCTTTTGGGTTAGCTTATATCTGGTCTTGGTATAACCTAGGGATTCCATAATGGAATCCAGTCGATCCTCATCCATGTAGCGCGAATTGGTCACACAAGGAGCAGGCAAGACCAGGAAGAGGCTTGGGAAGAAGTCGCCCATCTCGGTAGATGCAAGGCAGTCCGGGTCCTTGAGGAAGTCGAGGGTCCTGAGGAGCATGTTCCCTTTCCCTTGGGCATCCGGGACGAAGTTGACGACCAATGACAAGCTGATAATGTCAAACTTTTCCTCGTCATCCTGTGGAAGCGGGCGTTGCATGAAGTCCTGCTGCAGGATGCCCTCTGCTTGGCTGTTGAGGTCGATCCTGCACATGGAGAACAGCCCGCTCTTGGAACATTCGTTGGTGGTGCTCAATGCACCTACCTCTAGAAGGCGCAAAGAATCGCCTGCCGACGCCTTCTCCTTGAGAGCCGGGTGAGCAGCCTCCAGCCATTCCATGAGCACCTTTGAGCTGTCTCCCCCGCGATCATTCCGCTGCCCCTGAAGGCTAGCCTGCTGATAACTCTTGATGCCGCCCAAGGCCGAGATTTCTTTCTCAATGGCGGCCTCCTCGGCCTTATCGCCCTTCAGGATGGCCTGCGCCTTCCGTTTCTCGAGCACATGATGCGAGTTGATCAGAGTCCTCGTGGCTTTGCGGGAGATGGACTTGGGCCTCTGTACAGTTGGTGGGCGGCCATGAGACAGGCTCTTGGCTGTCCGCTTCTTCTTGAGCGCCATATCACCGTGTAGAAGGCCAGCCCAACTCCATGGAAGTATGAGAGTTGGAAAATTGTCCTCCGGTCTGAAAAGACCTTCGAATTGACTGTAGGGATATGGTCGTCGGCATGGAAGAATTTCCCACGAGTCGAGAGTTACTGCATTTTACCGCCCATATTCACGTTTGATCATGTACAGTACGAAAGGGGCCGATAAAACGGTCACTGGCACTGTAGGGATTCCCGGAGGACCAGATTGTTCCGCTCCGCAACTGCGTGCACAGACCACAAATCCGAAAACCCTAGGCCCACCAGCACGATATTCGTTCAATTTTCTGTAGCTGGGAACTTTTTCGACCGAAGCCATCTCGACAACCGACAACTCGACAAACGACGGCAACGACGGAATACCAGAGCCGACCGACAAAATGACTCCTAAAGGTACTTGACACTACACTACACAAGCGCACGCACGCATCCATCTCAGCTCTGCGACATGCGGTCCCCGCGAAGTCGCCTGCCTCTTGGGTGAGGCGGGCCCGACGGTGCATCAAGCTGCAGCAGATCTTGCGAGTTCTTCTAGAAAGAGCGATTGCTGATGCGTTTCTGACACAGGTGGTGCTTCCAAGGCGCCCAAGGGCAACAAGAAGGCCAGCGCTGCTGCCAAGGCTGTCCTCAAGGGTGTAAGTTTACTTTCTTGATCTCCCATCCCGCCGACTCGGGAACAACCGAACCATATCAGACCGGGACTCGATGCTGACTTGCTCCATACAGGGCCATGCCCAGAAGAAGCGCAAGGTCAGATTGTCGACCACCTTCCACCGCCCCAAGACCCTCCAGCTCTCGCGTGCTCCCAAGTACCACCGCAAGTCCATCCCCCATGAGCCCCGCCTGGACGAGCACAAGATCATCGTCCACCCGCTCAACACCGAGAGCGCCATGAAGAAGATCGAGGAGAACAACACCCTCGTCTTCATCGTCGACGTCAAGGCCAACAAGGCCCAGATCAAGGGTGCCCTCAAGAAGCTCTACGACATTGACACCGCCAAGATCAACACCCTCGTCCGGTATGTATTTGTCATATCCGTCCTTTGTCTGCGGGATCCATTTGCTGACGACTGAATCTTATAGCCCCGATGGTTCCAAGAAGGCCTACTGCCGCCTGACTGCTGATGTCGATGCTCTCGACATTGCTGCCACCAAGCTCGCTCTCGTTTAAGCGCGACCTGGGTTGGGTAGACAGCTGTTATGATGGGTTGGCATGTCATTGTGAGGGTGGTTCAAGCCCAAGGGATCTTTGCATTGAGAACGGCGTTCGCCTAAAGGGTAGGCTTATGAGGTCAATGGAAAATGAATTTACTTGCCGCCCTCTCATGACCAAAAACATTTTCTTCCAACGAGTCTCGATGTGTCTGGCTGTCACGTATATGCATGTGATGTGATGCAAATGCTCCAGGTGTAAATGGTATCGTACATTATGTTACATTGTATATACAAACAATGTCTAGTCTGTTGTGTGAACGGGTACCGACCAAGTAATACTCGGCCCTGCGTTCAACACAAGCAGCCGGGCCGCCTGTCCTGTCGCTTATGCTCCCCGTGCCTCGGGCCATGCAAGTGATTTACTCTCCGCCCCTGGACTGACTGACTGGCTATCCAACCTTCTCTCCTGCGCTTCTCAACCCTGTCTCAGGTTCTGCAGGTGCTTCATCGTCAGGCTGCTGGCGTCGAGGAACCGGTCAGCGCAGTTGGCCATGCAGCTCTGCTCGTTCTTGTCCATGGCGCCCTGCTTGATCGATCCCGTGACGCACTTCTTCCAGCACATGTCGGTGAGGGAGTGGACCACTACAGATAGGGGAGGAGCAGACGTTAGCCGGAATTCATATCTTTCGCGTGAGAGTCTCGGGTTGGCGTGGCTAGCCGCTGGCCCAGCCCTGACAATGGAAAGTCTGGGTTCCGCTAGACGTAGAGGGGTCTGTCTCGAGGAGGCAGAGGGACTCTCCCGATCAGAAGCCCCGGGTAAGGCTGAGGTGTGGGAGGACTCTGAGTATATGCTTACTGGACTGCACGCGCGCCTTCTGGTTCTCGTTGCCCAGGAACTGCCGCAGCTCGGCCTTGTCCTTCTCGTTGAGCTTCTCGAGGTCAAAGTTGGAGAGGTCCGAGGCGTCCATTTTCGCTTGCTTTATGGAGGGGGTCGGGAGGTGGCTGTTCAGAGGGAGGCGCGGGTAATTCGAAGTGGTGACGAGGGCCGCGGAGGGGGGGTATGGCTGCGTTGATTGTACAGATAGGTCTCTGCTGCGGATTTTTGGCGGCGCTTTCTCGATGATGCTTGCGATCCAGCGGCGCTGACTCCAGTAGCAAATTTGGACAGCTCCCGATGCTTATCTTATCGGCGGCCTTAGCGCAAGAATACAGTAGGCCTGGGTCATCGCCTACGTACAGTACTATGGACGATGCACACGATGGCAGTCACAGCGTGTCGAGGGCGGATGTTTCATGGGAATAATGATAGTAATCCAAAAGCTGCCGTGATTGCAATCATTGAAGAATGTGCCAGTGAATCAACCCGTGGGATGCACACAGGCAATGCTGCATATACTTGTGCTGAAACGATACGGACGCGGGCCAGTCTGGCCAATCAGCATAGTGCATTGCATGCGCTCTAGGGGATGGCAAGCGTATAGTGATACAGGACAACTACTTCCTCAAAGGTCATGGAGCAGGAAGGGCCAAAAAAAAAAGAGAGCTCCAACCACCGGAGTGTTCCGGACGTGGTCACTAACGAAGTTTTATAGGAATGTGAAATGGGGGTCCATTCCATGCCCGCCTTTGGTGAGGTATATTTGTGTGTTGCAGGAGATTCAGCTCTGTTGGTCTTCGCTCTTTCTGGGCGGTGTGGGACTTGAACTGGTATGCTTTGAGACTGCCGGTCACTGATTGTAGGTGCGAGTACTTTCTGGTTGGACGAAGTAACTGGGTTCATGTGTGAGAGAAGGATGAGGTAAATAGATATATATGATTTATTGAATGACAGGTGCAGAGCACCAATCGGTTGCTCTGTCGGCTTGGGTAGATGTGGACATTATACTTCAAGGTGGATTTGGACCCGGCGGCGACGTAAACATAATCACGAGCAGCGACAGACTTGAGAACATTAATACCACAAGTCACAAGTAATTAGGGCTCGCGGTGGTTACGTATCGGAATCTCAGAAACAACAGGAACTGTGATTCAGGGAATTCTTCAAGTGAACGTGGGACTTTCGTATAGCATTTCTGCAGACCGACTACCAGCGGCTTCCAGCTTAAATGTAAGAGTATGCACCTGGGTTACCAATGTTTGTCAGAACTCATATTTCTACGGAAGGACTAATATGCAGCTCTCATTTGAATGAATTCTCCCCAGCACCCGATATCCAATTGCTATCTATCGAAGTCCACTGTGCGTCTTGAAATGCCCGAAATATCAGACACGATGAAGCCACTGCATTCGTCACGTCAGCATAATTCATGCTGCGCATTTATACAAAGCAAGAAATATCCCGATATGAATATTGTTGCCGTGTAGCCCAGCTGCCCAGGACAAAAGTCTACCCTTAAGCTTATCGGCTGAAATATCTATCTCGCTCGATATAAGGAGCAGAGATGGACTAGAACGCAGCGCTATCCCAGATTTCTTGCCTAAATGTTCTCTTCAGCCATCTGATACGATCGCTATTAATATACGCGATGGGCTGACACATCCTTTGCTCATGATTAGGTTCGACCCGTTTCTCATTTGCTACTCGAGCTGCATGACCACCAAGCAACAGCCAACCATCGGACGAACATGTCTCAGGCATGTGGCAAGCTCCGAACGCAGAAGAAAGGCTACTGCATCCGCACCTACATGTACATGATGCTCGATCTCACGCACAGCCTGACTGCAGCTGCGGTCTCAGACCTTGACAGCTGGTCCATGTGTGTTTCACATGTTCTGCATACTGCGTTGTCCCAAGTGTAGTGTGTCCTGCGTGTGTGCGCGCAATGCATGATGCAGGGGAAAAGAAAAACCGAGCTGAGAAATTTGTTGGGCGCATATGCTGTAGGACATGCTGCGCAGTGCATCTACTCTGCATTGCACCGCACTATGGGTACTCTGTCGTGTCTACGTGTCGGGAACCCAAAGCTGGGCGAGGCCTTTTGCTTTTGTATTTGCCCTGCCACCGCCGTGCAGTATTGTTGAGGTCATGTGCAGTTTGTTTGCGGGTACATTGCTGGCGAAGAGCTAGAAGAGAGGAGCATTGGTCACGGAGGATTGTGCAATCGTCTAGCTATGGGGTTGACATCTGATGTTACATTCTGTACTATGGTTTTATAAATATTTATACGGGTTCATGATGCCATTCTGTATAACTTGTTAGTCAACACTCATAACCGGTACACTGGCCTCCAGGAAATAATAGGGCCTGGGGGCAAAGGGGTAGGTGAGTATCGTGACTTACCGGATCATATAGATTCTTGATCTGCTTCATCAGGCCGACCATGGTCTCGCTCCTGCTGTAGCCGATGTAGTTCTTCTTGGCGATGCCGAGGCCGTGCTCGGCGCTGATGCTGCCGTTGACCTTGGCGATCCACTCGTAGACGAAGGGCTCCAGCACCTGCTCGACGCGCTTGTCGTACCGGCGCACGGCGACGTTGAGGTGCAGGTTCGAGTCGCCCATGTGGCCGTACCCGACGACGTCGACGACGGGGAACTCGTCCGTGTCGCCGCGCAGGCCGGCCGCGTCGATCTTCTCGCGCGTCTCGTCCACGAGCCGGTACATGTCCTCGAGCGGGATCGACACGTCGTACTTGTACACGCCGCCCCAGTGGCCCAGGCACTCGGGTATGCCTTCTCTCTGGCTCCACAGGGACCGGAGCTGCGTCTCGTCCTGGGCCAAGACACCGTCTGTCACGATCTCCTTGCTCATGACGTCCTCGAGGAAGTTGCCCAGCTTCTCAGTATCGTGGTCGGCGTTGGAGCCGCTCGTCTCGATCAGGCAGTAAAACGGGTGCTCGCCATCCAGGGGGCTTTTGCTGCTGCGGACCTTGTGAACGAGTTGCTGACTCCTCAGATCCATGAGCTCGAATGCCGACAGGATCTCTCCCAGCTGTTGCCTTGCTTCCCTGAAGGTCTGCTGCATCTTCTCGTACGAGTCGACGGCCAGGAAAGCCACATTGACGGCACTCGACCTTTGAGGGCACTGTACGGATACAGCGGTAATCATGCCAATGGTGCCCTCACCACCGATGAAGAGCTGCTTCAGGTCGTAGCCGGTGTTGTTCTTGCGCAGCTTGCTCAGGTCGTCCACAATGGTGCCGTCGGGCAGAACAGCTTCAATGCCCAGAACGCTGCCGTGCAAACTTCCGTAGCGCAGCAGACGGAGGCCACCTGCATTGGTCGCGACATTCCCACCAATGTGACAGGATCCCTTGGCACCAAGATCCAGGGGGAAGATATAGCCCTTCTCCGCGAGGAACTGGTCCGCAACCTCCAGCACAACACCGGCGTCCGCGACCAGGATACCGCTCACGTCGTCGAACGAGCGGATCTGGTTCATGCGGCTGGTGTTGATGACAATCTCGTCAAAGACCGGCACGGAACCGCCCACGAGCCCTGTGTTTCCACCCTGGGGCACCACGGCCAGCATGTTATCGTTGCAGTACTTGAGGATCTTGCTGACCTCCTCTGTCGACCCAGGCTTGAGCACCAGCTTGCAGTGTCCGCGGTACTTGCGCATCCAGTCCCCGTTGTACGGCTCCATGTCGTCGGAGGAGACCTCGGTCGTGACGCCGTCAATGACGGCCGACTCCTTGCCGAGGAGGTCCTTGAAGTAGGCGACGTGGTCGTCGGTGATCTGGGCGAAGCGCGAGTCCCGCTTGAGGTCCGGGTACGTGTCGGTCGTGAACTTGGCCGTGGCCGGCGCCGACGCCCTGAGCTGTCGCGGGCTCGAGGTCGCGATGCATCGCAGAGCGGTTGCGGAGGCACCAGATCCGCCGACGGCCCTGGCCAGGCCAGAGACGCGCGCACAGCGCAGGACAGGCGTGATTCTCGATCTGCAGGCCATGTTGATTAGATCGGTCGGCGCAATGCTGCTCCTGTCAGAGACGGGCGACGGGACTGCGATCGAGCAGCAACACAGAAAAAAAGGCGAGGCCCGCATTACGGAGCTCGCTCGGCGTCGCAATGGCGAGATCGGGTCGTCACGGACCGGCGCTCAACGGCCGGCCAATCGCAGATCACGGTGCACAGGTGGTGGGCGCTAGACCGCAGCACCACGCTGTTGGGTCTGCCAAGACACGGACGGATCTATGCTTTTTCTCGACCGGACGATTCATCTAGATGTGACATCTTGGGACTAGGTCGCAGAACCAAGCCACTTGAGAAGTAATGCAATCTTGAAACTTGCACCGATATGAGTCACGCTCTTGAGATGGAATCTCTCGTAAACAAGCTCAAGAAGCCCGTGTTCTACAAAGACTTGTGCAGTTGGCCTGCCGGGTGGACCTGGGTTCATCTTGCGGCTCGAGCAATACCAATAGCCTGAAGTGGCAGATCATGGTCATGAAGCGTGGTTTGTTAAAGCCGCCCGGATTCGCTTCAGGTTGTGTTGCCGTTCAGACCATGTCCGAATACAATGACCAGATCTCACTCGGAGAGTATTCTTAGCAACAAATTCGGCTGTGATACTGGCGGCTTCAGCCTGGGAGTGCTCCGAGTCCATGATGCACCATAGTAGAAGCATGAGGCAGGAGTGTAGACCCTGTCAAACGGCTTTCCATCTCCAAGCGGCCGTTCCCTTTGCAGATCAACAGATCACCGAGCTGACGTAAACGTACGAGCCAGGAAGGCTGTCATCAGCCCATCAAGTTAGATGGCAGGGTGTGTTCGCAGGCAGAGAATATATGCCAGAGCTACCTGAGGTAGTGTTATCGCAGGCGTTGATGCATCGCTTGTCAGAGCTAGCACTGGCGGTTTATGCAAAACACTGGGGGATCGACTTCGCCCCAACGGGGGCCAACGGGGGAGATACTTCATGCATAGAAGCTGTGGAATTCAAGGCCAACTTCTACAGTCTCGAGTTTGTAGGCGCGGACAAATAGTAGTCGACGAAGGTCGAACCCACCGTCGTCGTCGTTACAAGTTTGCAGCCATGGGACCCGCTTAGAAGCGTGCACATTGCCTGATTGCGAGCAGCAGCGCTCTAGCTACGAGGACATTGGCCAGGACTGTTTGAGAAACCCCACCCCCAGTGATCAACAGCGACGAGGGAACAGACCTGAAGCTAGGCTGTACTATGTATGGCGCCGCAACATGGGGACGCATGAATGACTTACATCGGGGTGGCACAGCCCACAATAGGGGAGATCTGGCTGATGGATAGGACAGGATGGGACAAGATGCTTGTGTGCGATAGGGACCCCTGCCGGTCAGCAACCCCAAGAATGGACGGACAGGCCAGCAAGGCCAGTGAGAGGCGGCGGTGGAGGAGCCAAGGATCGGGTTGACGATGTTTCAGAAGCCGGCCTGTGGCAGATATACCCAGGCCTATCCCAAAGTAGAAAGACGGCCACGAAGACAGGAAACGCATAAGGGAGTTGAGGCGGCTAACGAAGTAGTTGACACGGCAGGAGAGCGCAATTGTATTTGAGGGCATGTGGCCGCACACAAGTCGGGAGGATTTGATGTTCCAGAGCTCTTGCTGATCCTACTGCTTCGGCCCCCCCAAGTGAAGAAAGACGTGAAGAAAGCGTGACGCCAGGCGCCGAACGACGACTCGAGTCCGGCTCGAGGCTGACTGACATACGGATCCGCGGGCGAGACCCTGAAGATCGGATTGGAAAGGGCGAGGGCTGCGATCGATCTTCATCTGCCGGGCCCCCGCGCTGCGAGTCTAACCAGCAACAGACGAGCAACCTGGAAATCGGCCTGTCAAGAGGCCCCCCCGAGCCCCAGAGCCCAGAACCCAGAACCCAGAACCCCTGGGGGACGGCAAGACGGCGCCGACCGACACCTGCAGCCAGGCGTTATTGATTGGGCGATTTAGCGGGTAGCGGCGCGTCAAGCGAGGATGCTTGCCTTCTTCAAGCGCAATGGCGGGGGGAATAGGGGTGCCGACAGCGCTAGCGCGGCCGCGGAGCCTGCTGAGCCCGCTGAGCCCGCTGCCAACTTGGCACCCGCTGCGACGCTGGAGCCCGCTGCTGCTGGGCAACCGACGCCAGCGCCAGCCAACAGCCAATTTGGCGTCGAGTACACACTGACCGAGGCCTTCCCGGACCTGCAGCCCGACAACAGCCTTGTTGACGCCCCATCCACTGCATTATCACCACCACCACCACCACCACCACCGCCGCCGCCGCCACGGGCAGTCAATAATACTACTAGCAGACACAGCACCGGCACAGGCACCAGCAGCAGAGACAGCTCTACGTACGCCGACGACGACGACTCCTCGGACGACTCGGCCAGCCAGGTATCTGTATCGACCGTCACCACCTCGCCCACCCAGCACACTGCAGAAACCCCCCGCACGCCACCGCGGTCGCCCGCGCCCAGGTACAGCAGCACCGTATCCGCATCCGCCTCTCCGTCTCCGGCGCCGCCGACGACTCCCCCTCGCTCCAGGCGCACCCGCAACTCGCTCGCCAACCGCGCCCAGCCCGCCTTGCATGCCGCCCGTGTCCAGCGATCCGCCACCCTCAGCAGCATCTCACTGCCCAAGCGGGACTCGCTGAAGGACCCGACCAAGACAAAGAGCTTCCAGCGCCACTCGTCGGCCAGTTCCCACGCCTCGTCCGACCCTGCGGGTGCCGCCCCTGACCAGAAGTCGGCCCTGTCCAAGATGGACCACAAATGGATCAACGTCCAGCAAAAGACGTTTACGAAATGGTGAGTCGTGCCTTTTTTTCGGTCCTCTGGCAAGAGACCAGACAGAAAATTTATACCATGTTCGAGGACTAATCAGGCTGGCGTGCAACAGGCTCAACACAAAGATCGAGCCCAGGGGCAAGGAGGTCAAGGACCTAGTGGCAGATTTAAGTGATGGTGTAAGTTTGACATTCGGACGAGCTCTAGTTCTAGTCCCCAGACTTCAGACTGCAGGCCGCAGACGGCAAGCTCCAATTCCCCAGTTGCTAATTGCTCGCCTAATTTTCAGGTCATCCTCATTCACCTTCTCGAGTGTCTGTCCAACGAGTCCCTAGGTCGCTATGCCGCCAAACCCAAGATGCGAGTGCAGAGGTTCGAGAACGCAAACCTGTCGCTCAACTTTGTCAAGTCGAGGGGCATCCAGATGACCAACATCGGCGCCGAGGATGTGGTGGACGGCAACCGCAAGATCATCCTGGGCCTGATCTGGACCCTGATTCTCCGGTTCACCATCAGCGACATCAACGAGGAGGGCATGACGGCCAAGGAGGGTCTCCTCCTGTGGTGTCAGCGTAAGACCGCATGCTATGACGAGGTTGATGTCAGGGATTTCAGCACCAGCTGGAACGACGGCCTCGCCTTCTGCGCCCTGCTGGACATCCACCGCCCCGACCTCATCGACTACGACGCCCTCGACAAGTCGGACCACAGGGGCAACATGCAGCTCGCCTTCGATATCGCCCACAAGGAGATCGGTATCCCGGCGCTGCTCGACGTGGAGGATGTCTGCGACGTGGCCAAGCCCGACGAGAGGAGTTTGATGACCTACATCGCCTACTGGTTCCACGCCTTCTCCCAGATGGAGAAGGTGGAGAACGCCGGCCGTCGTGTCGAGAAGTTCATCAACAACATGCAGGGTGCCTGGGAGATGCAGAGTGCCTACGAAAGGCGGATGGCAGAGCTGCTCCGGCAGATCAGGGAGCAGATGGAGGCGTGGCAACAGGCAAAGTTCGAAGGAACCTATGTCGACGCCAAGAAGCAGGCCACCGAGTTTGCTTCCCACAAGAGAGGCAAGAAGAGGGAGTGGGTTGCCGAGAAGAGCGAGCTGGCGACCTTGTTAGGGAACATCAAGACCAAGATGGCTACGTATCGCCTCAGGGCATATGAGCCGCCGCCAGAGTTGGGCCTGGCCACCCTGGACAAGGAGTGGGCAGGCCTTACCAAGGCCGAGATGATGCGTGGCCAGCTGATCAATGAGACCATCAGAGAGTAAGTTAACTCCCTTCGACCGGGCATCCAAACCAGCCCGCTAACCAGTGTGCAGTATCAAAAATGCTCTCCGCAAGTCATTTGCCGACAAGGCCAACGACTTCGCTCTCGCCCTAAACACAATGCAGGTTGCCATCTCTGGCTTGGAGGGCGAGGTGGAAGACCAGCTTCTCCATGTCCGGAGGCTATCAGACAACCTGCCACCTTTAGACGCTTACCTAAAGACCATCGAGGCTGTCGATGCAAAGTGCCAGGAGGCCAACATTGAAGAAAACGACTTTACAACATATACTTATGACGAGCTGTCATATGAACTCGGACTGGTCAAGTCATCCGTTTCTAAGAAGCTCGCCTTCCTCGAGAACCAGATGGTCGCACGGAACATGACAAACCTGACACCTATCCAGCTCGAAGAGTTTGAATCCGTCTTCCGTCACTTTGACCGCGACGACACCAACTCCCTGTCGGAGCTGGAGTTCAGCGCCGCCCTGGCGTCTCTAGGTCTGGTGTTCTCCGAGGACGAGATGCACGACTACTTCGTGGACACGGCACGCGGCCGCGACCGCGTCTCGTTCGAGCAGTTTATCCGCTTCATGGTCGACGTCACCGAGGACCAGAACACGGCCGAGCAGGTCTTCCAGTCGTTCCGCGAGGTCGCCGACGGCAAGCCCTACGTCACCGAGATGGATCTCCGCCACTCGCTCGTGCCCGACGAGGTCATCGACAAGCTCATCGAGATCGTCCCCGAGCACAAGGGGCCCGACATGGCCCAGGACCGGGGCGTGCCGCAGTTCGACTACATCAGCTTCATGGAGAAGCTCATGAGCGACCAAGGCGCCGGCGGGAGCGCCGGCGGTGTCCTGTCGGATATCACCAACGGGAACGGACGGAGCAGCCCGACGAAGAAGGTCAACGGCGTGCATTAGAAGTGAGGATTAAATACCCCTTCCGAAAGTCTTGGCAGAGGTGCAGAGAGAGAGACAACGTACGTAGCGCCGCCAGACGGCTATACTACTACTTACTCATTCCCCTTTCCGTCCGACCAGGACGAGTAAACCAAGATGCTAGCATTATATCCTCACCCCCTTTTTCTTGTTTTCGTCATTCTTGGCTAAGCGTATCCAATCTGGGCGCAATGTCGCCAGCTCATCATCACCACCATAGGCTTTACAGCCTCCTTTTTCTATCTATTTGTACTTAGGGTAATAGCATCATCCGGGGTGTTCATTGGGGAGGGGTTTTGCGGTCTGACGCTGGGAGGGAACAGCAGGGAGGGAAAAGGGGGGGAATGGGCCGGTGGCTTCTTCTTGAAGACTGGCTCTTCGCAAAAGTATCGCCGGTTCGGCGGGCAGCCTTTGCGTCCATGCGGACCGACTGGCATTAGGAAAAGATTCCCCTCACAACAGCAAGCAAGAAAGCAAGCAAGCAAGCAAGCAAACAAATAAACAAACAGAACAGACAAAAAGAGAAATAAAGCATACACCGCAGACTGGCATATAATACAAGATGATATATATCGCTGTACGAACCTGTTGTATCTTATTAGGCCTTTCGTGTTTGTACCTGTGTCCGTGACTCGACTCGATTGCATGTGAATAGATTGGAATGATGTAGGATCAGCTGCTCGGGCTGTATACATGTATGTATGCACACACATGATACTATTTAAGGCCATCTCCTAGCAAGATGGTGCTGTCCGATGGGCATGTCCACAACACTGCCAAATTTCAACAGACAGACAGATAAATCTCCCCCGTCAGAGACAGAGCCGACACGGAAGATGCTGTTCCTTTGAAATTCATCACAAAGTCTCTCGGTCCAGGAACGCCCCAAGTCCAAGTCTTCGCTTGCGCCGGAAGAGGGCAACATATGTGCATTTGTGTAGTCCAATACAGATTCCCCAGCCCATCCCATCCGCTAGTAAACTCCATTAACCAAAAAAGCAGCCAGAAACCAAATAAACTGTCGGAAAACAAAAGCTGCAGACGCCAGACCATGCAATGCCCCGCCCCATTCCGGTGAGATGAAAACCCCCCTGGTCCTGTATGCCTCTAATCCCTTTTTTTGTCTTCTCTATGTCGGTGCTGTCTGTCGCATGTCGCCGTGCACCGAGTGCATCTCAGCTGTGGCTACGGCTAGAGGCGCCCAGCGGCCTGCTGTAGCGGACATGGGTACACATCTCTGGACCACGCGTGTCCCGGGGTGTAATTTAGTCGTATCTGGGTGCTCAAGCCTCCTTGAACGCATCGCGCTCCTTCAACGCGTTGGCCAGCCGTCGGTAGTCGCGCAGCAGCTCCAGCACCTCGCCGAGCCGGAGGTCGGCCGGGTTCTGCAGCTCCATGAAGCGCTTGTTGGGCGGCTTGATCTGCGGCACGTCCTTTGGGGGCAGCGCCGCGGCGATGTCGGGGAATGCCTGGGAAATATTGTTAGCATCTGCCGATGTCCGTAACGTAGATACACGAGGGAGCCTTACTGTGGCCAGGTCGCCGCCATCCACCGTCTTGGCGGCAGGTTGGTCCTTTCCGGCCGCGGCCGGGACAGGCGTGGTGGCGGATCGGCCGAAACCACGCATCATGCTGATCCCCGAGAACCTGTTCATCGGATTCAGGGAATTGCCTAGATTCCGCACCTGGTCAACCAAGGCAGGGTTTGACGCGTTGGGAGGCGGGGTCGCCGTAGTCCCCGGGGCCTTCTCCTTGTTGTCTTCGGCGGCAAAGACCACCTTCTTTGAGCTGCTCGCACTACGAGCGCTCCGCGTGCTGTCCGTGCTTCGGTCCCTCGAGGCAATGGATGCCTTTCTGCCACCGACGAGACTCAGAACCCGGTCTTCTCTGCTGGCCGCGGGGCTCTCGTTGTCGTCCACGCCTTGCACCGAGCTCGTCCCGTCGACGGAAGCATCATCGTCCGGAGGAGGCGTTCCAATCAGCTTTCGAGCGTCTTCCAAGGTCTTTGGCACCTCTATATCCTTCCCACCTGCCGTGGTCTCCTTGAATTTGCCTACCCAAAACTTGTAGCTCCCCTCCAGACTGGTGCTGATGTTTTTGATGCTCTGATCCGCAGAATTGAAGAACGAGTCGCTGGCGTTCCCAATCGCTTGTGCCGGCGTCTGTATGAGATCGCTCAGCCTACGGCGCTGCATTGTTGCCCGAGCAGTCGTGGGAGAGGGTGGCGGTTTCATGCTAGAAGCACTCGCCGGTGTGACGACGGCCGGGCTGGAAGCAGCTGCAGAGAGGCCAGGGGTATACGCCGGAGGGAATGTCTCGTTCCTCGGAGTCCCCGGCGTGCTTCCGAGCTTGGATGGGCCGGCCAGAGACTCATCTGCGCGAAGACTGGCCAGGTCAACCGTTTCGAGGAAGGTAATGGCCGCCTCGAGATTAGTGAGGCAGTACGCGGCTTCGCCCTCGAGCTTCTCTTCCCAGCGGAATCGTTGGATGAACTGAGAGTCACTGATGACATTCAGCTTCTCCGGAGGCATCGTAATCAGGGTGTAAATGAGCATGGGCATGATCTCGTCCGCTGACGAAGAGGGATGAAAGTGAGAAAGCGTGTCTACAATGCTCTTGTGCGCCGCCTTGAGATAATTCAGCTTGCCCAGTGGGTACCTCTTCTCGTTCATGACGATCAAGTCCTTCCGCGCCTGCTCCAGATACTGGCTGATCTCGGCCTGCTTCTTTGCGGCAGCTTCGGGGCCGTCGTCGGCAGGTTCACCAAGGTCGACCCCCAAGTCTGCCGGCCCAATGCCCACCAAGGCTAGGGCAGCCGTTTTCGACCTCAGCTTGTCGTCCTGGGCCTCATCGTGTGTGGTTCTATGACGGTAGATGCGGTCGTATATGCCCTCGCACAGCCGCCTTTCCACGGCCTCCTCGAGGAGCACCTTCTTGTGCTCCAGCGCCTTTCTCGCCTTTTTCCTCTTGGCGAACTCCTCAGCAGTGAGCATCTGCTGCTCCGGCTCTGGCGTCGAGGCGCCCTTGGGCTTCTCCTTGTTGGCTAGCGACGCGGCCTTGGCTCGGAGAAGGCTGGCGGCCGACGGCCTGGTGGCGATGGCGGGCCGCGCAGAGTCGGTGCGGTTCTGTATTGTGGCCAGACTTGCGACGTGTGTCTGGATGTGCTGGGCGGCGGTTGCGTAGAAATCCTGGAAGCGTCTCGAGATCTTCTCAATATTCGGGGGCGACGGTTGGACTTTGGCATTCAGCGAGTCGATGAAGCTGAGCCCGGCGGGTTAGTTGGGGTCCCTCCACTGCAGGTCTGAACAGAGGTTCAACATACTTGTCTATGGTGCTGACCAGCTCGATTGGGATGTCATCCAGGTCGACGGAAGCTCTCGGGGGCTCGACAGGGTCGTCGGCCTCATCGGCCTCGAAGGCATCCGGGGCGGCGGACTTCGGGGACCTGTGCTGCCCCACGGTGATCTCGGGGGTCGAGCTGCCGTTCTGGAAGGTGTTTGCCCGCTGGGAGCGCGTCAAGGGCTCTGGGGCCTGCTGCGATTCGTGACGCGAGAAGGATCGTGTGGTACGGAGGGCGCCGGGGGCGGGTTCGGAGCCCTTGGAGGGCGACGAGGAAGCCATGAAGGCCGTGATACTGAAGGACATGATGGGGGTTAGCTCGGCGCGAGTGTGCGAGTGTGCGGCCAACCTGTGGGAGGGTTGCAAGAGAACAAACAGCACCTGACTTCCTGCCTGCCTGCCTGCCTGCTTAACTACCACAACTACATATAGCTGTGTGCGTGTAGGTCTGTCTGGCAGGCAGGCAGGCAGGCAGACAGGCGGGCGAGAGCGGGCATGAATTGTTTGGACCGGCATGAAACCTGTAACAGGGGAGGGGGCGCATTGGTTGGTTTAGCTCAACGTACCTATGAGCAGCTGGACAAACGAGTGTGGTGTGACAGGCGGATCAGCAAATGATGCAATTATATCATATCACCGCTATATCATGCCGATCCTTGGGGCACACGGGAAGAAGAGCAGAGCGGCGGGCGGTTGCTGGAGGGAGTCTCGGGAACTCGACGAGACTCCAGACTCGGGGCAGAACGGCTTTTGGGGGGCTCCGTATATGTTCGTGATGGCACGCGATGGACCCGGCGTTGAGACAACGGGTTCCAGGTTCCAGGTTGCGCCTGGGGTGGCCAGCTTATCGACGGACGATAAGTCGACGCGCAATGGTGCCGTCGGGTGGTGCTGTGGTGCTGTGGTGCTGTGGTGCAGTGGTGCAGTGCAGTGTGGAGAAGACCTCCAGCTGGGGCGGAGCTTTCGCTCAGTGGGCGCGCCTAGAACAGTAGGTACCTACGGGTAGGCAATGTACTGCAGATCCACTAGACGACGCGCTTGATACGCAGTAGTAGTGCTGTACTATGCAGCAGACGCCAGCAACAGGCAATGGTTGGTCGTTTAATACACCCGAGGTTACAGCAGCAACAATGACAGAATACGGGCAGAGGGCAGTTGCACATATACCCGCACGCAGCTTGAAGATATAACCAGGTGACTTGACAGACATGGAGCAGCTGCAGAAGTTGACAGATATCCTACCACCTTCTGGCTGCCTCCCCGAAGGCTCGGGTCAAATGGACGTCGAGAGAGGACTTAAGAAGAGAGCTGCCTGAACCGGATACGTGTGGCGCATCACCTCTTCCCTTCCCATCCCCATCCCGGCGAGATAAGATGGGGGATGGGGGCCGCTGCAGGGGTGCTGGTGAGCGCTAAGGGTTGCATGTACAGTGCATTTGGTGCTAATACAGATGTGAGGTTAGTGAGGCCAGAAAGACCAGGACCTGAGGGCGGACGGCCACATGCCGCCAGTGGACCAGTAGACCAGTGGACCAGTAGACCAGTGGACCAGCGGACCAGTGGCCGCCGTATCGGAGCGTCATAGGTCATGGCACGCGATGGCATTTTTGTGGGGCCCGCCGCCTGTCCGCTGTATCATCAGTGACAGCACCGCACCACCGTACCACCGTACCTACCGTCTGTACCGCTGTAGACTGTAGGCTGCAGGCTGCTGCCAATCCCCAGCCTGGAATGCGGTCGGCCGCCTATCCTCCCCCGAGACCCGACCCAGCAACTACTTACAACAACAACCATAACCACAACTACCATCGTGACCCGGCTGTTCCCACTCTCTTCCCTCCATGCATTCCGCCTCGAGTCTCGCAGTTGACCAGCTCTGACTGTTCTGCCGTTTTGTCTCCTCCACATAGCTGATCCACGACACCACCGACGCAAGATGGTCTCGCGCCCCCAGAGATCCCGCCCGACCTGTACCTCTGCCGGCAGAGTGACCGCCCAGCTGCTGCTGTCATTCCTCGCCATCTCGCCATCTCCCGCCCTCGCCCTGCAGTCACAGCATCAACAGGCCCAGCTCGTGCTAGACGACTCGCCCATACTATCGCCTCTGGTCCCAGAGCCACCACAGCCCGCCGAGCACACCTTCTCATTACGTCACATCCTCCACCACGGCACCTACCGCCACCCCGGCCTCCATCGCCGCCGCGACGTTGTCAACCCCGACGTCCAGGTCTGGCTCGCGGCCGAGGATGGGCACGCAGCCGAGCGGATACCGCCGCTCAAGGCAAAGAGCAAGCCGCGCAAGATCGAGCGTCTGGTCGATAGGCGGCCCGAGGTCGTCGACCCCATGGTGGCCGAGGCCCGCCAGAGGGGATACGTGCTAGCCGGGCTGCCCTCGGCCTGGTCCGTCGATGACGTGCCGGGCCCGGACGTCACCGACAAGGGGACCGTCCTCAGCATGGCCTTGGTCGCCGCCAACGCCTACGTCGAGAAGCCGGGCATGCCCGACTGGGAGGAGGTTGGTGCGCCCTACAACCGGAGCGCCGACTTCGGCTGGGAGACGGATGGACTACGGGGCCACATCTGGGCCGACGAGACCAACTCGACCGTCATCATCGGTCTCAAGGGGACATCGCCCGCCGTCTTCGATGGAGAGGGGACGACCACGAACGACAAGGAGAACGACAACCTGTTCTTCAGCTGTTGCTGTGCGCAGCAGGGCCAGTGGTCGTGGCACCAGGTCTGCGACTGCGCCACGAGCACCTACAGCTGCAACAACACCTGCGTCGTCCAGGCACTGCGTGCCGAGAACCGATACTACCAGGCCGCCCGTGAGCTCTACGCCAACGTCACCGAGATCTACCAGGGCTCCAACATCTGGGTCGTCGGCCATTCGCTCGGCGGTGCCGTCAGCTCTCTGCTCGGCCTGACATATGGCCTGCCCGTAGTCACTTTCGAGGCCGTCCCCGAGGCTCTGGCGGCGGGCAGGCTGGGCCTCCCTGTCCCGCCGCACGCCGACCCCCAATATCCGCAGACCCGCGAGTACACGGGGACGTACCACTTCGGACACACGGCCGATCCCATCTACATTGGGACCTGCAACGGAGCGACGGCTTCTTGCTCGTTTGCTGGGTACGCGCTGGAGTCGGCATGCCACTCGGGATATGAGTGTACCTACGACACGGTAGCAGACAAGGGCTGGCGCGTGGGCATCGGCACCCACAAGATCCGATCCGTCATCAACGATGTGATTAAGAAGTACGACACCGTACCCGAGTGCAAGTTCACGCCCGAGTGCCGAGACTGCGGCAACTGGAAGATGTACGAGAGTAACAGCACCGACGGGACCACCTCGTCCAGCAGCTCCACGAGCTCCAAGACACGCACCCGGACCGCAACCTGCAAGACGCCCGGCTGGTGGGGCTGCCTCGACGAGACGACAACCACGACAGGAACTTCCACGTCGACGTCCACCACGACGACGTCGACGTCTACCTGCAAGACTCCTGGATGGTAAGCGAACCCCCCGCCATCTGCAGACTTAATGGCCAGCCTTTTTTTTTTGTCTTTTTTTTTCTTTTTTTTTCTTTTGCTAACGTTGCACAGGTTTGGCTGCAAAGATGAGACTACCACCTCGAAAACGGCCACCAGTGTACCAAGTGCCACCATCACCACGGCCACGAGTACCACGACCTGTGAGACGCCAGGCTGGTTCGGCTGCAACGATAAGACGACTACTACAACCACGTCTACGTCGCACCCCATCACCTCGCCACCGCCAATGCCCACCACCACCACCCCGGCAGACCCCGAGCCGACGACGCAGCCCAACAGGGGCAAGGGCCGCTGCCTCAAGCGCGGCTGGTTCGGGCTCTGCAAGAAGTACGAGGGCGACGAGGCCGAGGACCCGGCCACGCCCACGGCCCCGCGGAACGAGGAGATTTAGCGGAGCAGGATACACCGCCCGGCCATCTTGGGCGTGTCTGGAATTTTCATTTGGTCGTTCATGTTGGCGTTTGGCGGCACTGCGGGCCGCAGCGCGAGGGCGCGCAACTTTTTGTCGCATTCAGGGGCCTGCGCTTGATTTTCTCACCACTTTGGGGGGGCGTTGGGGCAACGTGTAGCCGGATGGCTTGCATTACGTACTTGCGTTTGAATTCACTGCATTACACACACACACACACACACACACGCACACATATTTGCATACTTCATATATATACATATACATACGCGTACGCATAGATAGCCACCCTCGTGTCGGAGCGAGCATCAGCAGCTGCTGGGTTAGAAATACCAATCCGCAATTTACGAATACCAGAGGATTCAGTTTTATAGTCTGTATAATACGGGCCAGTCCCTGTGGACTGGAGCTCGCGGGTTCCGTGGCTGTCTATCGCGCGAGTGCGGGATAGGGGGTGGAGATAATCCGCCCACCGCAGTTCAACGCAGTTTCGTGAGGTCATCCCTCGCCTCGGCTTTCTGGCACGGGACGCAGATGCGCCGAGATGTGACGATACCCCAGGGTCTATATGATGGATTTCTTGCTAACGCATTCCAAGACTGTTCTAGCTCTTGGCCATAGAATCATGTGCTCCCCGAGACCAGGCTCATACCAGGGATTCAGGGGTTCAGGGGCTCAGGGGCTCAGGGGGGACTGCTCTGATGGGATCCAAAAGCCAGCATCATTCATCGAAAATGCCATTGGAACCTCCATAGCTACGTCTGTAGTCTCTCTAAGTAAACACACGAATCCCTCGTCTCGTCGAGCCCAGTAAGCTCCCTAGTATGAACAATTGCCATCCAAACCCATGCCATCCTATTCCCTGACCCTGTTTCCCCTTTACTGTCTGTATTGACTTTCTTCCCCGCTGAGTCTAATTCCACGACTCGAGCCCCCGGAGGACACAGCCCTCGCCACCCTCGGGCCGCGCGACCAGCCGGCCGATGGTGTAGACGGTCTCGCCCTCGGCGCGCAGGAGGTCGATGACGGCGGGGGCGTCGGCGGGGGCGACGACGGCGACCATGCCGACGCCGTTGTTGAAGGCGCGGGCCATCTCGGCGGGGTCGACGTTGCCGGCCCGGCGCAGCCAGCGGAAGACGGGCGGGTGCGCCCACGCGCTGACGTCGATCTCGGCCGCCAGCCGCGCCGGCAGCATGCGCGGCACGTTCTCCGTCAGCCCGCCGCCCGTGATGTGCGCCAGGCCCTTGATCTGCGACACGGCTTTGAGCAGCGGCTTGACGTAGATCCGCGTCGGCGTCAGCAGCGACTCGCCGACCGTGACGCCGCTGTCGTCCCACGGCGCGGCCGCCGAGTACTCGAGGTTCGCCTCCTTGAGGATCCGGCGCACCAGAGAGAATCCGTTGGAGTGTACGCCGGCCGACGCGAGGCCGATGAGCACGTCGCCCTCGGCCATGGCGTCCAGGCGAGGCAGTCGGTGGCTCGATTCCATGATGCCGATGGCGCAGCCGGCAGCATCGTAGTCGTCGCCTTGGTACATGCCGGGCATCTCAGCTGTCTCGCCGCCGACCAAGGCACATCCTGCCTGCTTGCAACCGTTGCAAACGCCTTCGACAAAGGTTGCCGAAGTCGCAGCATCCAGTCTGCTGCAGCCAATGTAGTCGAGGAACATGAGAGGCTTGGCGCCCTGGACGACAAGGTCGTTCACGTTCATGGCCACCAGATCGATGCCGACAGTGTCGTGCTTGTTCGTCTGCTGTGCGATCATGAGCTTGGTGCCCACTCCATCAATGGCACCAACCATGACTAGGCCGTCTGCTGCATATCCAGCGCCGGCCAAGTTGACCTCTCCTCCAAACCCACCAATCTCGGCGTCGGCACCAGGTATGGCCGTCGACCGGACAGCCTTCTTGATGCGCTCAACGAACTGGTTGCCGGCCTCGATGTTGACACCGGCCTGTGCATACGTGAGGGCCTTTTTCGTGTCCGTAGTTGGGCGGAAGGCGCGGTGGGCGATATCCTTGCGGTAGTACATCTTATCGAACTGAATCAGCTTGACACCTTCGTAAGCCTTGTCCACGGCAGCCCTGAGGGTGTCTCCAGTTGCTGTTGCTGCGATGACTCGGCCACCAGCTGTTACGAGCTTGCCATTGCTCAGCTTGGTGCCGGCGTGGAAGATGTTGATGCCGGCAGGGGGTTGTTGCACAGTCATCTCATCACCCTTAGCGTAAGACTCGGGGTACCCGCCGGCGGCAACGACAACGGTTGTGCTGAACTTGGGCTCGATCTTGAAGGTAAGGCTCTTGCGGTCCAAGCTAGTCTTAATACAGGCGGCCATGATCTCGGCCAGGTCGGTATCGTCCGACAGCAATGGCAGGACGGTCTGCACCTCGGGGTCTCCAAAGCGCACGTTGTACTCCAGGACCTTGGGGCCGGCTGGGGTGATCATAAAACCAGTGAACAGCACACCCCTGAAGGCCATGTCCTCCTCGCGCATGCCGTCGATGGTGGCCTGAATTATAGTGTCCATCTCGGCGATCAGCTGGGGCGTGGCGATGTTTGTCGGTGCGTAGCAGCCCATGCCACCGGTGTTGAGGCCTTGGTCGCCATCCCCTATGCGCTTGTGGTCCTGGGCCGGGGGGAACGACTTGATGTTGATTCCGTCGCAGAGGGTCAGAACGCTGAGCTCGTCGCCGGTGAGGAACTCCTCGATGACAACCTCGTCGCCAGCCGAGCCAAATTCCTTGTCCAACATGATATCCTTGAGCGCGGCGCGGGCCTCGTCCTTGGTCGTGGGGATAATGACACCCTTGCCGGCAGCAAGCCCACTAGCCTTGATGACAACATTGTGGGTGACGCTGTCGAGGTACTGGCAGGCCTTGTCGTGGTCGGAGAAGTTCTCGAATGCGGCAGTCGGGATGTTGTACTTCTTCATGAAGTCCTTGGAGAAGGTCTTGCTGCCCTCCATGCGCGCGGCGGCCTTGTCCGGGCCAAAGGTTGCGATACCGGCATCGCGGAAAAAGTCGACGGCTCCGGCGACCAGAGGGGCCTCGGGGCCGGGGACGACGAAGTTGACGTTCTCCTTCCTGGCCAGCTCCAGCAGGGCGGGGAAGTCGTCGGCGGAGACGGTGGTGTCGTTCCTGGTCTTGGGGGTGGTGGCGGTTCCTCCGTTGCCCGGCACAGCGATGATAGACTCGACCTTGGGCGACTGGCTCAGCTTCCAGGCGATGGCATGCTCGCGGCCGCCGTTGCCAATGAGCAGGACGCGGAGAGGGAACTTGACGCTCATGGTGTCTGTCGGGTGCCGTCACCACGCAAGGGTTCGTCCGGGGGGATTCGAGAGTGGAAGCAGTGAAGGGCAGGCTCTTGACGACAAGAGCGAGAGTTGTCCTAGGACGGGCTCTGCAACTCGAAATTTTTACGCTGGCGCCTGCGGTTTTTGGGAGTTTTTACCCCTCCCCCGCAATGATTTTTGCAGGGGAGGGGGGGTCGAAGTCAATTGGCAAAGGGTCCCCCCTCCTCCTCCTCCTAAATCGCAGCACCCTGGTCCGGTAGCGTCAGTAGGCAACTGGAATGGAATATCTAACTTAAGGCTGGCTTCCCGAACCGTAGGCGAGGGCGCAACGCCCTGTTCAAGACGTCGCCAGTCTACAGTTGACTGCATGATGACCTGTTATAACTTTAGAGACTCCTCGGCTTGTCACCTGTATCGATTGGCCTCCAGTGAATGTAAGACAGTCCAAGTAATAACCATCGTTCTGCGTACTGCGATTGGGTACTCCACCTACACTAGTGAAGTTCTGCTCTGCCATATGTAGTATAAAGTACGGCCATCAACCACCCTTGCACCTGGCCTGCCCTACCTTATCGACGTTATCGGTTTCGATGCGGCTAATTTCGGGTACGCGCGCCACTGGCCAGCAGGTCCAGGCCTCGGGACGTCACCCGGTCGGCTGCTTTCTTTCATGTTAATACCTACCACTCCACTGAGTCTGTACTTGACCGACGTATCGCTCCACCTCCAAGAGCCAACTGCCATTTGAATCCTTGTTTTATAAGAAACCCGACTGCTTATGCTTTGCAACCCCACACTCGATTGCTGAAGATGCTCTTGATCGGCCTGACTGGGTCCATCGCGACCGGCAAGTCAACCGTCTCGTCCATCCTCACATCCTCGCCATATAACCTGCCCATCGTTGATGCCGACCTGCTGGCACGCAAGGTCGTAGAGCCCGGGACTGCTGGCTACAAGGCCATTGTAAAATACTTTGGTCCTACGACGCCTGACCTGCTGGTGGAGCCCTCAGACTCGATTCCAGAAAATGGTGTCGACGGCAAGGGGCGGCCACTCAACCGGCCCGCGCTAGGCAAGCGAGTGTTTGGCGACAGCGAGGAGAGGAAGAAGGACCGGGGTGTCCTCAACGGCATTGTGCACCCTGCAGTCCGCAAGGAGATGTACATGTCGCTGCTCTGGTGCTACCTGACCGGCCACCGGGCGGTAGTGCTCGATGTTCCCCTGCTGTTCGAGAGCGCACTGGACAGGATGTGCGGCGTGGTCATGGTGGTTGCCGTCAGAGACCCCGAGGTGCAGATGAAGAGACTCATGGAGCGCGACTCCCACCTCAGCCGCGAGGACGCCCAGAACCGCGTGCTCAGCCAGACAGACGTGCGGCTCAAGGCAAGGAGATGCGAGGCCCGGGGCAAGGGAAAAGGCGTCGTGGTGTGGAATGACGGGTCCAAGGCCGAGCTGAAGGCCAATATCGACAATGCGATCCAGGAGATCCAACGGAGCAGCCCGGGCTGGTGGAACTGGTTGCTGCTGTTCTGCCCACCCCTGGCTGTCATGTCTGGGGCGTGGACGTTTTGGCGGAATGTGCAGATAAATAAGACGTGGAAAGAGCTGGAATTGAAAGAGAAAGCCAAGCTTTGAATGATACCTATCTCGAGCAGAATACAGGGCGAATTGCGATGCAAGATCTAACACCGGTCACACAATTCGCATTGATACCCTTCATGAGGTCGAACCCTCAATATGCAAAAAGAGGGAACGCACAACGGTACAGCAGGGTCTCCGATTTCTTCTCAACATCAACATAGCTGAAGATAGAAAGCGTTGCCGGGCCAGTCAGTTGCTTGGTGGCGAGTGCGGTACACCCAACGATAACAAGTGTGTTCGCTCCTTCCCGAGGTCCTTTCGATATAATTCGTGGCGATGGTCCCGGATACTTGACTTGACTCAAAACATCCGGATTCCATTTCACACTCACCTACCTGCCCACTTCTCAGTGGACTGATTGTATCCTCAGCGCCCCTCTGGGAACTCGCCCTCAAGTGTCACTCACTTTGGCATTCGCGTTGGACGTCCACTGGCCACCCCGATCAGTCTTATCTTGAATCTTTAGGACGAGAGTCAACCTTTTGGTACTCGCATTGCAATTGAAAGTGTGGATTGCACATTGCCACCGAGCTTCTGGCCATCTTGGCGGACTGGTTCGCTAGTTACTGAGCAAGGGCAGCAGAGCAGCAAAAGCTCGCACCCGAGCCTCTGCCACAACTTGCACCGGCATACCCCATCCAACAGCTGTCGGGTTCCCTGGTCGACAAATATCTTCGCGTCCACACATGCACAACAGGTACTGGGCCACACTTGAAATACTTGACACAGAAGGTGCCTCTGCACAGACTATCGCCGGTCCCCGTTGATCACACATCAATATGCCTCCCAATTCATTCGCAGAGTGGATCGTTGGCTCAAACACCGTCAGACGCAAGAAAGCATACCCAGCGCAGAGGTCGCGAGTGGCTCTAGAATGGACTACGGACGATGAGACAGGCGATGACACGGTTCACGTCACCCTGCCAGCACACAAGGCACCCAAGCGCAATGGCAAGCATGTCCGCTTCGAGAAGCAGGCGGCTCAAGAGGTCAGTAACATCGGCACGAGCGAGGAGACGTCTGAAGACGAGCCCGACTCGGACTGCCCCTGTGGAAAGTGTGTCTCGATAAGACGGAGGCTGAAGAAACGAACACAGGCAGGCAAGAAAGCCGAGCAAGCAGAAGATACAGAGGTCAGTGAGAGTGGGGGTGACGACACAGATGAGGCCATCGACTCGGATTGCCCGTGTCGCAAGTGTGTTGGCGGGCGGAAGAGGCTAAGTAGACGCAAACAGACAGACAAGAAGACCGTTGAGTCCACCGAACCCGAATCCGACGCCGAAATCCATGCCAAGCACATGGAGAAGAAGGCCAAGCAGAAGCAGTCGCAAGAGCAGGCCAAGTCGAAAAACAAGGACGGCGGCAACAGCAAGAAGAACAAGAACAAGGGCAAGAACCAGTCCGAGGACGAGTCTGAAACCGCAGTAGAGTCCGAAGACACGACCCAGGACAAGGGCAAACAGAGCTCGAAATCCAACCAGAGCAAGAAGAAGGGCAAAGGTGGCTCCAAACAACAGCCCGAGACGTCAGAAGACGAATCGGCCCCCGAAGCTGCCGAGACAACCGAGGAAGAGGACCTCAAGGCCAAGACCAAGAAGAAATCCAAGCAACAAAACAACTCGGCCAAGGGCGGTCAGAAGGACAGCTCGAAGAAGGCGGAGACCTCCAATGAAGATGCTGGTGACGAGTCAACGTCTAAAAAGAAGAAAAAGGACAAGTCGAAGAGGACTCCTATTAACCCTCAGCCTCCCCGAAGACCGGAACTTCTCATGCCCACCTCAGCACAGGTCTTGCAAGTCGAGCATTCGGTCGAAACTGTTGCAGACCCGCGTCCCAACGCCTTCTTCGACGCTGAGCATGGAATTATGCGAGTCTACCACGGTCAAGCATATGGAAACCCCACTGGTGTCCTCTATCCCAAGCGGCTCGCCCAGGCCCATGGCCCGCTGGGAATTCCCCATCCGTCACAGAACCCATATTTCTATGGATTCGCTCCGCCCCATGGTGGTGCTCCTGCTGCTCACTCCTCGGCTCCGCCTCCTGTCGTTCAAGGGGCTCATCCCAACAATCCCTGGTTCCAAGGTTACGGGACGGTAACCGTCCCTGGCCCCCAGCCTGCCACCCCCAAGAACCCCAGAGATGCGTACAACGCCTCGCCATCACTCCGCGCACAAGCCAAGAAAGACAACAACGTCGGACCTTTTGCTCCTCGTAGCGCAGCAAGCGGTGGGTCGAAGAAGACGAAACCCGATACCACTGGACCTTGGGACATTCAGGGTGCTCAAGGCTCCAAGGGGAAGGAGAAGGAGAATGCACCTGAGAACAACAGTGGTGCCGATGATGTCAACAAACCTTGGAGCCCTCAGAAGAGCGCCGAGCTACATGAGCATCTGCAACAGCTGGGAAGCAAGAAGGGCAGCAAGGCCGGCAGCCAGAAAAGTGACAACGGCTGGGGCACTACTGGTAACGGCGCCGGCTGGGGGCTTGACGACAATGCTAATAATGGGCCTGGTAATACCCGGGGAGGCAGCAATAGTAACAACAATAACACCAACGACGTATGGGGACACGGAGGCGGGAACAACGCTCAGAATAATGGAAACTGGGATAACAATACTGGTCAGAACGGCAACAGTGGCGGAAACCTTTGGGGGTCGAATGGTACTCAGAACAACACCGGCGGTGGCGGCTGGGGAGCCTCGAGCAACAAGGCCGGCTCTAATAACCAAGACTGGGGAGGCAATCCCAACACCAATGACAAGGTGGACTGGGGCGGCAATGCCAACGGCAACAGCAACCCCGGCCGGCCCAACTCCAACAAAGGCTCCAAGAAGGGTTCACCTACCCAGAGGCCTCCCTCGACCGCGGGCAACGTGGGGGGATGGGACGCCCGCCCGGCGCCCGACGACAACCGGTCGCAGCTCTCCCACCGCTCGCACGGGTCCAACAACAGCCGCCGCCGGGCCAACACCAACGATGTCCACCCACCTAGTGCCTGGCCGCAGTCGGACAACAACGTCTTCGGAACCGGCGGCTCGGGCTCGGGCGGCCCGCAGGCCTCCTCGCCGTCCCAGCGGCCCCCCTCGACCGCCGGCAACGTCGCGGGCAACGGCGACGACTGGGGCGAGGCGGTACCGGCCGGCGGCGGCGGCGCTGGAAACAACATATGGGGAGGAGCAGGAGGAGCAGGGCCCTCTGCCCCCGTGGATATGGCGAACGAGACGGGGGGCTTCTGGGACACCAAGCAGGGCCAGGCGGACGAGCACATGGTGCAGAACCCGGGTTCGATTCAGTGGTGAGGCAAGACTGTTATTGGTGCACTTCCTTCCGTTGTCCTTCCCCGGGAGGGAAGCGATACAGCGACTTGCGGCTAGGCGGCAGGGTCGTGGGGCCGAGGGTGCCAGTGAACTGAGGCATAGCAGAGAAGCTGACACTCATACTCTGAATCTGAATATGTCTCTGGTCCTAAATCATGCCGGTTGCAATCACGAAGTCGCAGTTCTAGTCAAGGCCCTTTCCTCTTTCTTTTTCGTGCCATTATAGAGTCGTCGTCGTGACGCTATCACACAGCCGAGTGTGGACGGACAAGCCAAACGCCTCTCTGACACTTTTGACTCTGATGGCCTCGACATGGCCCTAGGCATATACACACGCGCCTGAGTTCCTCAGGGGGGTTAGACAGATAGGGGATCATAGACACCTAGATACCTGACCCCAGAATCCCACGAGAAGAACCACAGCCCGAGATCCAGTCGTCCAGGAACTGGAAAAGCAGTTGGACCTTGCCCCGTGATCCTGGAGGGTGGTTTTCATTTGACTTGAGCGTACATGTGTATGCAGACTGACTCTCGCCCGTATTTCCCCCCTTGCGGATTCGTTCGCTCTGTGCTCTGGTTCATTGGAGCCGAGGAGTGGCCGTGCAGCCCGTCAGGCAGGCCACCGATTTCTGTAGGATCTCCAATTGTGGTGTCAAATATGCACATGTTGCGAGGCAGAGTCTAGTAAAAGGGGTTGATCGACTCAATTGAATCAGCTAGGAGGGAGCCGTACGATCCCGAGTGGGAATAGTAGCGTAAACACTTTGACTTCACATCATTTGGACGCCGGTATCTGGGAGGGGAGACGGCAATCTGTATTGAGAAAAGACACTACAAAGATTCGAACCTGATCAACCGAAATATTTTGTGTAGCCGACCATATGCAATGCTTTTCCCTCCTTCCATTCCGAACCCGAAGGAGATGTGATTTCGACAGCCAGGCACTACACTGAATGGGAGCGTTTTTTTTTTCATTGACAAGCGAGAGAATACAAGGGCAGAAGCAAAGCGCGGAGCAAACATGAACCAGGATTCCTTGAGCACAGCGAGATGGAGAGTCTATACCTTAGGACGCGGCTCGAAGCAAAGACATGCTTAGTCCGACTCCTCCTCAGACTCCTCGTCGGCCTCGTCGAGCCACTTGATGAAGGGCTCGGCGGCGCGGCGGATCTCGCGCGAGGTGGACAGGTCAGTGTACTTCTTGCTGGCCTTGCTACCCCACTTCTTCACAAACTCCTCAGAAATCAGCTCGTTGTCGTAGAGCTGGTAGAGGATCTTGTTGGAGATGACGTCGGCAGTCATCAGCTTGGGGTGCTGCTTGCCCTCCTTGGCCAGGAACCGTTCAAGGCCGCCGAGAAGAGCCTTCTCGTGGCGCTCAGAGACCTGGCTGGGGTTCTCGGGATCTTTGATAAACTGAGGGGCCTTCTTAGTAAAACGATAGCGATGGATCGAAGATCTGGGGGAACGTACCTGCTTGATCAACCCGGCGCGCTTGGGGATCTGAGCGACAATGTTCTCGTTGAAGAGAGTCTGAACGAGGATCAAGACAGTCTTGTGCTTGGTCTCAATGCCCAGCTCCTTCGCCTTCTTGTAGATCTCGAGATCTTCGACCTTGTCAACGCCCTTCGCCTCGGACTGCTCCAGAATCCAGTTGCCCAAGGCATCGTAGACGGTGTTGCCACCGCCCTCGCCCTCTTCATCCTCGTCGGCACCTTCCAGGACGAGCTTGTCGCGGAACTCGGTCGGCAAGTTGTTCTGGCGGGCCTTGACGGCCTCCTCAGACATGTCGACGGCCCAGTCGTCGTCCTTGACCTCCTTGGGAACGTCGATGACCTGAGCAGCACGGGTGTACTCATCGTCGCTGCCGGCATCGATGTCGTCCGAGTTGTTGCCGTTCTCGTTGGAGCCGTTCTCCGAGTTGTCGTCGCCGCTTGCATTGCCGTTCTCCTTGCCGCCGTTCTGCAAGCCCTTCTGCTTGGCAGCACGGGCGGCCTGTCGCTCCGCCTTGGTCGTCTTGTTCTTCTTGCCCTTCTTGGGCTGGTTCTTGATGATGAAGTTGATCAAGTTGGTGTGAACCAGGGGCTTGCTGCGAGCACCGCAGGCCTTGCAGTCCTTGCGGACGACGTCGTCCTTGATGACCAGGTCGGTCTCGGGGTTGCCGCAGTCGTCGCAGAGGACGTACTTCTCAATGAAGATGAAGAGAGACTTCTGGAGGGTCTCGCCGTCATGGGCACCGTTTATGATCCAGCGATCATCCGGAGGGTCCATGTTGGTCTGGGCACCCAGATCCAGTCCGAACCACTTGATGACGTGGCCGCCGGGGCGAGCAAGGGACTGAGCAATGGTGCTCAGGTTGACCACGACGGTCTTGATCCCGTTGCCCTTGCCCTCGACCTTGACTTGGAGGCGGGGCATCTTGTAACGATAGAACTTATCGTCCCCCTTCTTGGGGTTGATGGCTAGTAGCTCGACCATGGTGGCGGTGTTGCGATGTATATGACTGGAGGGAGAAGGTGGAAGACGTTGGTTTCTGGTCCTATTCGGCTGAGAGGAGCAGACAAGAAGGACGGACGGTTGGCTTGACGATATCGGGTGCGGTTGGGCGTAGCGACGAGATTCGCAACAAGACTTAATAAATCATCTGCGGGGGCTTAGAGGGCCGTAGACGACGGTGGACTTGGAGTCACGGAGGGAGATGGACGGGCCAGTCGGTCAGTAGAAGGGCTGATTCCTAGCAAACATAGGGGAGACTGGAGGTAGGTTGTGGTGGTGGGCGTTGGTAGGCATAGACTCTTTGACGAGAGGGTGGTTCAGCCGACAGAACTGATGTTGGGGCTACAAGGCTTCCGCGGTATGCGAAACGACTGCAGCGCGAGAGGGGGAAGGTGTTTAAACACAGCGGTCTTGTCGTGCTGATACATAAACTGCAATGTAGACTTGGACCCTTCTATGGTGGGGTTTCTTTGGTGGGTTGTTGGGTAAGCCCGGGCGGGGAGACGAAGCCGAGCAAAGCGGGACGGGGAGGCTCTCTGTCTCTCTCTGTCTGACACGGCCGACGAGATGCAGGCGATGGCGATGGCGATGGCGACGAGGCCGTGAGACGGGATGGGGGAGTTGAGAAGGCAGCGAGGGTGGTCTCTCGGAGTCAGACTGTGTGTGTCGGAAGCAGGAATAAGCAGCCTCGGACTAGGCAGTGGCGACCACGAGCTTCTCGGGACTGTCAGTCGGCTCTCTGCTGGACAGAGGATACTGAGGCGTTCGAAGAACGGGTTGATCAGTTGCGAGGGCTGTCAATCTGAAGGCGGTTTGGAGGGCGCAGTCAGAGAGGAAAGAAGAGGGGAATGCTGAGTGTTTGTGGAAGGGGGAAAAAAAAGAAGTAGTTGTGCTGGCAGGCGGCAAAGCGGAGGTCTGAAAGGATTTATTAACACCATGATCTGGATTTGGGAGGGGACGGGGCACTAATTGGGTACTGCGGTACTGCGGTACTGCGGTAACTACTGTGGTACACTGCGAAAAGCGCAACCCCACCACCTGGGCAGCACTGGACCACATTGCATCCAGCCCGTCCGCCCGCTCCCCGCCGCTACCAACAGCACTTGTGTTGCAATTACATAGTATGTAGCCAAGGCAATGCCTACTTGGCCCGGCTATCTGCTCCCATGGAGAGAGGTACCTAGCTGTTCCCTGTACTGAGGTGTCACGGATAGGTACCTAAGAAGTTGTCTAAGATCTGGTTATGTCACTTAAGGTACTTGATTGCTTCGTGGGCTTAGGCCGCCGCTGGCCTGAGCCCCCCGCGTCCAGCGCGCCTTGGCTGTCTGGCGGGGGGCCTTTTGGAGGGGCAAAAAGGAGGGCTCAGCCTGACAGACAACAGACCAAATAATGGCCTCCGGCGGCAATCCATCCTCCTGTCCTGGTCCTCCCTATTGCGGCGCCGGGCTGGGAGCCACACACACACACAGCCATCCTCTTGGTCGTCGGGAAAGTCATCCACCTCATGATTGATGAATATTGTCTCTCCACATTGCCATTTTTTTTTTTTTTTTTTGGCTCGTAGGGCCCGTCCGTGGCCCCGGG